ACTACTTCACTCCCTATCACTTGTCCAGGTACCGTAGCAGGTCAATTCTGAAGCAAAATTTTGCATTTAGAGGTGGAAAATCGCATTCCGAATATGCCTGCATTGTTGCTTAGGGTGGTCAGAAGACTCTGCACTTTTTTAGCGTATTCACCTAGTAGGGCTATGTCATCGGAATATTCTAAGTCGATAAGCGAGCGTCCTGGTAAAAGGTCTATTCCTAAAAATTCAGACGAGGATAAGCTTATTTCTAGGAGCATCTCTATGATAAAATTAAACAAGAATGGAGAGAGTGGACATCCGTGACGGACACCACTTGAACTAAAGAATCCCGATGACAGTTCACCATAAGCTCTCACTCGTCCAGTGGTGTTCGAGTAGAGAGCTTTTATAAGTTAAATGCTCTTCTTTGGTACACCTTTGACGACAGACACTGCCACAGAACCTCACGATCCACTGAGTGGAATGCCGCCGTAACGTCCAGGAAGACAACTATTGTAGGACGCATAAATGTGTGTCTGTGTCCCAAGACCTGTCGTAGTGTGAAGATATGGTCTATACAACCACGTCCAGATGGAAAACCAGACTGGTTTTCTCTAGTCTGCTCTTCACGAGCTTTCGTTAAGCGTCGAAGTGTTATTGAGGCCAATATTTTAGATACTATATCAGTTTGACTTATTCCCCTGTGATTATCACAAGAAGACTTGTGTCCTTTTTTATAGATTGGGACAATCAAGGATTGAGACCAGTCGAATGGGATTACGTTCAGTTCCCAGATTCTACCTAAGATCTCAGTCAACCTAGCTGCTAAAACTGGACCAGCATCCTTAAATATCTCAGAGGTCAGTCTATCAGGACCTGCAGCTCGCCCTCGCTTCAGATATCCTAACGCTTTCTCAACTCCATTAAGACTAGAGGGACTTACGTCGATTTGCCATTCAGGATGACTGGAGATCGTGGGTAACCGGAGAGAGACTCGAGGCCAGTTGAACTGATCCCTAAAGTGTTCTGTCCATAGGTCCAGTCTCCTTGATTGAGAATGGATAATAAGACCATCCTTTCCCGAAATAGTTTCACTCACATTTGGGTTCCTAATACCAGTTTCCTTGATAAGTCGTTACAACTGTCTGTTGTTGCCTATCGCCGCCGCCTTTTCCATCGCTTTTGGATTCGCCACCCACCACTGTTTACGGTTGTTACGTAGGCTTTTTATCGGACTGCACTTAAGTTGAATTCGTTCTTCGTCATGTTCAGAGCCAGGTGGGATGAGTTTTCGAACCTCTATCAGTTCGGTGGATGTGACTGAGATCCACGGCTTCATCCTAGCCTTATGGTTCACCTTACTAGCAGATATCACTGCTGTTTCCACAGCCTTTTGGTTAACATTCCAGGCTGCCTCTGGATGGGAATCGCTTGCATGGTTACCTAACTCTCTTTCTAGTTGTTCCTGAAATATATTCCTCGCCCTATTATCATTAAGTAAAACCCTAAGATGCTTTCTTACGGTGTCTTTCCTACGTCCAGTAAGGCTCAAACTGCTACGCACTCGCAATAGGGCATGATCTGAACCTAAACATGTGCCCCAGAACGAGCGATAGTCTTCAATCGAACCCCCGCCCCAGTGGTGGCTGATGGCAATGTGTTCTAGTTGTGTCCAACGTTGAGACGACTTTGGAGGTCGTCAGGCCAAGAGATGCCTACGCCAGCAAGACCTCGGGAAGCAGAATCGGGGCTTCCAGATACACGAAGAGTAAATCGAGCTGCTTCTTTAATTTGACAAGGTGAAATCAGATTAATAATTTTACTGGGATCCTGTATGCGCGTTTCCGAGATGCAGCACACATCGATGGCACAAGATTCTAAAGTCCTAGCTAATGAAGCCTGTTACCCTATTTGACACAATGTCCGTACATTAAAAGCTCCAACATGTAGTCTAGAATGGGGTTTCAAGAGACCAGGAATGACGTTTCGTGAACTCGCTTTGTCTGCATTAGCGAAGCAGTGAGAAAAGGGAATGTGAGTAGAGAGAAGAGAGGTGTGTGTTGGTGTAGGAAGGATTTGATTTTGACCAATTTGGTCTCGCGTGCTGTTACGGGTATGAGGGCGGTTTTCAACTTCCCGGCTGTCCTCACCGTGGAAGGTTGTTTCTTGGGGGACCTGAAAAGGAAGATAGATTAGTGTTGGTCTTGGAGACCTGGGAGCGTGACAGCAGAGTCCAAGGCCGGTCACGCAATGCCTTTTTATGAGAAGTTTTTTGAGTGTTAGCTCCGCTCTTAGAAGCACTTAGTGGGCACCCTTACCCAAGGAGACGGAAATCCGTGAGATAGGGTGAGGTGTGACATTTTTAGGGTCGACCTTTTCTAACTTCTTACTTCCTTCTTTGTGAGAAGGCAGCATCGCTGCAGCTGCTGGTTGTCCGAGGGAGACACCTTACTTCCGTCACACCCCTCTGCAGTCAGCAGTACGACTTCGCCCTCAGACATGGGTAGCTGCTTTTAGTCTCATTGTTCTCAAATCGACCTGTTTGGCATGGTAGAACCTCCAGGAACATATGTTCCAGCCGGTATAGCTCGGTTGGGTCATCACGATAGGCAAGCCTGACCACCACGTCAAGGTAGCAGCTACGGTCGGGCCATCAGGTTAGGAAGAAACAGTAGATTTCATTAGCATTTACTGAACTGATAGGTGCTCGGAAACTCATGCTGTCTGGTTCTGAGTACGACAGGAGCCAGGTTGATAAAAAGTCTATGCAATGATCGCGAAGGGCTGGGTAGAGAAAGCGAGTCACATGAAACAAGCGGCGGCAACAGGCAACACATGACAACTATTCAGATTCATCAAGGAAACAGGCATTAGGAGTCCGACGGAAATGAGACTATCTCAGAAGAATATGGTCATAATATTCATTCAAGGACTTAAAGTCAGGTACTAGAACTTAGACACGTTCAGCTGTCCCACAATAGTTGTCTACTTGGACCTTTGAGCGGCACTTGACTCTGTTTAGCATGAGGTTCTGTGGCAGCGTCTGTAATAAAAAGGTGTACCAAAGAAGTACACTAACCTTATACAAGCTCTCTACTCGAACACCACTGGTCGATTAAGAGCTTAAGGCAAACTGTCATCGGAATTAGTTACTTCAAATGATGTCCGTCACGGATGTCCACTCTCTCTATTCTTGTTTAACATTGTCATAGACTTGCGTTTAGAGATACCATTATCTTCGACTGACTTTTCAGGGGTGGACCTTCTACCAAGAGATCCGTTTGTTGACTTCGAGTATGCCGATGACATAGTTCTATTTGGTGAAGATGCTGACAAAATACAGTCATCTCACCACCCTAAGCAACAATGCAGGCATATTCGGAATGCGATTTTCCACCTCTAAATGCAAAATTTTGCTTCAGAATTGACCTGCTACGGTACCTGGACTAGTGATAGGGAGTGAAGTAGTCGAGCGTGTTGTCCGCTCCACTTATGTTAGGAGACTCATCAGTGCTGATGACCTGGTGACTGACGAAATCTCAGCACGGATACAGAAAGCTGGATGGGCTTTTGCCAACCTGCGTCACTTATGGCGTAGGTGAGATATCTGTTCTGCCTAATATTAACATAATTCTTGTCATTTCATATACATAAAGTTTGCCTATTTCAACTTATCTGCATATGATATATACTGACGTCCTACTCCGAAATGAACCGCTAAGAAATTTGTTTTGGTATCCAATAAGCTTGTCGCATTAGGTGCTTACATTTAGCTAATATTTGTTGTCAGAACTTGTATTTTATTGTTGTTAATTTATTAGGACTGAAATAACTAAACTTTACTGGTGTGGTACTCACAAGATGGCGTATGAGTAGCATGAAGCAGAGCATCACCTAGAAGTTGCTGCCAGAGAAGTGTCTGCAGACCTGAAAATCAGAAGAGATGTGAATGAAGACAGTCAGAAACCTGCTTTTATTGCAAATGGATGGTTGAAGATTGAGTGTACATATTTAGTAAACAACCTGTCTTCTCTCAATATAAATGTATTCCGTCTGGTTCATGCATTACACTAATATATAGGTTGCTTGAGTACTGAGGTGCTGCAAAATATCGGCAACAATGGTTGAAAAGGTAAATGTTTTGACTCGGTCGATAATTGAAAACAAAGTATTTGTATGTGAATCTTGTGGCATTGTATACTACTAGTAATATATTGTGGTCAATAATTGTTCCATTAAATCATTATACACAGTTCCAGAATGCTCACTTTTAAGATATCAAACAAGGATGAAACAGCTGAGAAATATTAATAGATTTTCAGTGTTTTCCTAAAAAATGATGGTAAATACTAATAAAAATCATTTTAAAATTACGATATAAAACGATATTTTATTTTGTAATATAGTAATGATCCTAGAAAGCTTAGGAGATCAGCATTAGAGGGTTCCAAGTTTCCACTTTTTAACGTATGATACAGTTGATTTATCCAAACAGTGTAACACTGCTACACGGAAACCTATACTGTTTTCTTAAGTATATACTAGCAGGAGGACATCACTTCACATACAGAATGCTTACGTATACTTATCAGGTGAAGTTTAGTTCCGATTTACTTTTATGCTTGAGCTACAGAAAATGTAAACTCTATAAATGTAACGTAAGTTTTGTTGGAAATTACGATGAACTTGTAACTACAACTAAGTGATTTAGTGGATAGTGAAAAAATAAAATATTTAATCCATAGAGATTCGTTGATATGTGACTAAGTTCTCTGTAGATACTATACCAATGGTTCTTAGTAATTTTCAGAATGGAATATCCCAATAAGATTGACAAAAAAGCAGTTTGTGATTTTCAAAATCAATCATGTTCATTTGTAATAACAATAAGTATTCTGACAAAAATCACATTACATTGTGAAAGACAATAGGCATTGAGAGAACATTTAGAGACTATTCACTGAAATAAAATGACCAAACATTAGATACATAACATAACATTAAGAGATCCTGTTTAATAATCATGCAAACAAATCTTCGTCTTCATCGAAAATAACACGAGATGAACCAAATTTAACATTACTGACATTGTTGGAACCAGCTAGTTTCGGAGAAAATGGTTTGAACTTTAAGTAGTCAGCCATCTGAGAAAGTAAACTTTTTGTCCCAACTCCAGATATCATTTCGTTGGCTTCTTGGAAAAGAGCATCAGCTTTCTCAGATACTAACATTTGAGCTGCTTGTATTATTTCCTTCGCAACGCGTTTAGACATAAATGGGGCCATGCGACTGGTTAAATCTGAAGCGTTAGCACACGCTATATCTTTAAGAGTGCAGTAGCCTAAACTATACAATTGTCGGGCTCTGGCCTGTTGAAAAAATTACGTGAAACGAATAATCATTCATTCGAAACGTGTTAGGAAAATAGTTATTAATTCGAAATATGTAGGTTTTAAACAAAAATTTAGAAGACAAAAGTTACACACCATAATAAATTAATCTGAAATTAAAGTGGAGAAAATTACTTAATATTTACATCTGTTACCCCCAATCGAGCATAGGCCACCAACCAGTATTCTCCAACCTATTCTGTCCTGGGCATCCCTTTCTAGTTCTGTCCAATTTTTGTTCATTCTTCTCACGTTTGTCTCCATTTCTCGATGTAATGTGTTCCTTGACCTACCTCTTTTCCTTTGACCTTGAGGATTCCAGGTGAGGGCTTGTGTTGTGATGCAGTTTGGTACTGTCTGAAGTGTGTCCTATCCACTTCCACCGCTTCTTTCTGATTTCTTCCTCTATTGGAATCTGGTTTGTTCCCTCTCATAGTAGGCTGTTGCTGATGGTGTCTGGCCAACAGATCTGAAGTATTTTGCGAGGAAAACTGTCAATAAATACTTGCATCTTGTGGATGATTGCTTTGGTAGTTTTCCCAGTCTCTGCCCCATACAGTAGAACTGTCTTGACGTTTGTATTAAAAATTCTGGTTTTGCCGTTGATAGATAATTGTTTGGAGTTCCGGATGTTGTTCAGTTGTAGAAATGCAGCCCTTTCCGTGTATCAAATCCACCTTGATTGTCGATGATGCTGCCCAGATATGTAACGCTTTTCACATCTTCCAATGCTTCTCCGTCAAGTGTGATTTGGTTGGTGCATGTTGTGTTGCATCGAAGAATCTTGCTTTTCCCTTTATGTATGTTGAGACCTGTTGCTGCGACGGCTGCTGCGACGGCTGCTGCTACACTGGTCGTCTTCTCCGGCATTAGTTGTCGCGTGTGAGATAGAAGGACGTAGAGTATCTTTGCAGTTAATGCTACGTCTGCTTTCAGTGCCTGTGCTGGAATGTTGTCTGGTCACGCTGCTTTGTCTCTCGTGTTTTGCCTGGTGGCCATACTGATCTCTTCAACTGTTGGTGGGTTAACATTGATTGGGAGGTCCGTGGATGTTGCTTCGATGTTGGGTGGTCTCAGAGGAGCTGGTCGATTCAAGAGTTACTCAAAGTGCTCTACCAACGTTTCGCTGTCCTTCAATGTTGCCGATTACATTGCCTTCCTTGCTTTTCACTGGTCGTTCTGGTTTACGATAGCTTACAGAGAGCTTCTTTGTTGTATCATACAATAGTCTCAAATTTCCTTATCGTGCAGCCTTTTCCACCGTCACTGTCGGATCTTCTACATATTTAGGTTTGTCGGCTTTGATGCTCTCCTTCACTTGCTTGTTTGAATCTGTGTATTCAGCTTGTGACTTGGCTTTCTCTGCTGTTCGGCTGATATTGTTTATCTATGAGAAATTATTCAAACCAGCTAAATGAAATCCTGACCATAGCAGCCATCTTGTCGTGGTGGTCCGGCTTGCCTCACCTAACGACACATCCGAGATATGGAACATACGGTCCCGTACGTTCTATCATGCTAGGCAGGTTGATTGGAGAACGGTAAGACAAAAAGCATCTACACAAGGTCTGAGGGCGAAGTCGTACTGCTTGCAGTAGACGGGTGTGACAGCAGTAAGGTATTCCCCTCTGTCATTAAAAGGTGTACCAGTGAATTACATTAAGGTGATGCAAGCTTAAGGCAAACTGTGATCGGAATTCTTTACTTCAAGTGGTGTCCATCACGGATGTCCACTCTCTCTATTCATAGACTTGTCATAGACTTGCGTTTAGAAATAAAATTATCTTCGTCTGACTTTTTAGGGGTGGACCTTCTACCAAAAGATTCGCTTGTTGACTTCGAGTATGCCGATGATATAGTTTTACTTGGCGAAGACGCTGAAAAAATTCAGTCTTCTCACTACCCTAAGCAATAATGCAAGCATATGAGGGATGCGGTTTTTCCTTTCGAAATGCGAAATATTGCTTCAAGATTGGGTTGCATCGGCACCTGAACTAGTGATAGGGAGTGAAGTAGTCGAGTGTGTTGTCTGCTCCACTTACCTTGGAAGACTCTTCAGTGCTGATAGCCTGGTGACTGACGAAATCTCTGGTCGGATACAGAAAGCTGGATTGGCTTTTGCCAACCTGCGTCACCTGTGGCGTAGGCAAGATATCCGCTTGTTAACCAAAGGATGAGTGTACTGCGCAGCAGTTCGCTCCGTCCCACTATACGGCTGTGAAACATGGCCGTTAAGAATAGAGGACATTCGTAGGTTACTAGTCTTCGATCATCGATGTCTCCGAAGCATTGCTCGTGTATCCTGGGACAGCCGTATAAGCAATGCTGTCGTTAGGAAACGAGTTTTAGGGAGGGATGGCAAATCAGTAGATGAAGTAGTGACGCTTCATCAATTGAGGTGGTCGGAACATGTGTTGCGAATGACCAACCACCGACTTCCTCGTCGTGCTATGCTTTGCGATGTAGGAGAAAGCTGGGGGTTGCCAAACTAAAATCCATCAAGTCACTGACAAGTGAACTGTGTCATGTTGGTAGGTGTAGACTACCTGGTTGGGGTCCGCGAGACGGTAGTAACCGATGGCTAGAGACCTCAAATGACGTGGCTCAAAATCGTTGACAATCGCGCCAGCGCATCCACTCTTTGTGTTCTGTCAAATCCTAATCTTCTGAATTCCTCATCAACTCTCACGCTTTCTAAATTTATTTCACAGAATTATACTCCTTGAATAGCATCTTCAACACCCAATCTTTTCGATAACTGCTAGTACTTCTACTACCACTACCACCATGGGACTTGAATCGACGACTGCATTACTGTGCTAATATGGTATGGCAACCTGAACTTGTATGCGTACTTACGAAGTTCTACGTTTTAGCTGACTGACTGAATTGAACGAAATGTTGGGACTAGCAAATTATTTATGGTGACATTTCTATACAAATTTGTCGAGAAATAATTTCATTCTCTGGAAACCCTGAGTTCTTTACCTAAATAATGACGTAACGAAAATTTATCATATAGCCGTTACTCCAACCGATGCTAAATTTCCATCTTTTGAAAGAAGTGTTATGACAGGCTGATTCTACCTGCAAACCTTTCTAATGGTGAGGAATGTGTGTGCTTACTCAACCACTATCATGTGACACCGTTAAAGGGATATTCCTTAAACTGTGATGTACTCCGAAACGTCAATTTTTCTGATATGCAGACGAATATGACACCAGAAGCAGTAAATTCTCGATAACATGATGCTAACTAGGTACTGCAACTTCCAACACCTGGATTCTGCATCAGATCACCATGTTTGAAATACTCATAAAAGACCAAAGGGTTTATATGAAATCAACAGGTTAATATATTGACGGGTTTTACCAATTTTTATTGATTCGTGTATGTTGAATAAAAGTCAGAGGGTAACAGACATAGAGATCAATATAAGGTAATTGACTAGACGGGTCTAGAAAAACCGAATGGGTCGAAAAGTGTATCGACAATTGTTTATTTATACCTATTCAACTATTGTCTACAGTTCAGACCATGAGTGTGGTGAACTTGATCAAAACATACTCTAGAAAATCAAACAAACGGATTTAATAATAGACGATATTTCCAAGAAGCAAATAGCAAGAAGAAACAATTTTGGAGGAATGTATAATCATCGTATCTAAAAAATGAGATGATTAACCTACTCTTTTCACTCCTGGTAATTCCATCAGTGGAAGTAATTCACTAGAAACACAATATGCTAGTCTTGTGGCGAATTCCGGTAGTAGATTTGCAAACGCCCATAGTTCTGAATCCGTAGAAAATTCACTAGCTAGCGCATGAGCCAGTGAGCTAGCCAATGATGCAGCTGAGGTTAGCATTGACTGAAGAGCACCACGTGAAAATTTGTAGCGTTCAGCCACATACCATATTGGGAATGTCGACCTATTCTGCCACAGTTCAGAGAGGGCTAGAGCGACGTACAGCCGACGAAGAGGTCGTTCATCCAACTTCTATCAAATGGAAAGATAAAATACTGTTCTGATTATCTTAGGCTATAGCACAATTACCAATAAAATATAAATACAAATAACCGAATGAATAGTGAGAAGTGATATCTTCAGTGCAGTTACACAGTCTTCTCGAAAAATAATATAATCCAACCAATAGTTGGTATGTTAAAATGGGAACTATTCCTAACTGTATGAAGCGGAGAAATAAGTAAATGATGGATTATTTACTCGTGCCTAAAGAATTTCAATTTAGTTTAAACTGTTTAGTTCGATTAGATCAACATTCGGAACTGAAACAAGTATATGCGAATTCCAAATGTTACTTAGCCGAATATATTATAAGAGTGATGATAAAAAGAAGTGGGAAACCATAACATTGGTATGAAACGAGATGTAGCTCTATCAATGACAATCAGTACGACGCATTTCCAACTGCTCTAACTTAATCAAAAATGTATTACTCATTAGTAAAGTCAACTATATATTTCGAAATATTCTAATCCTGCTCACCACTTTTAAACATAGTGTTAAACAGTTAACATGTAAAAAGTGGAAATGGAGAAGATTGTACGAATATTTAGTTCAGAAAATTATTTTACAAACAATAATAAAATTCAAAGAATAAATTAAGGTAATCATTTCAAAAACAATCTTGCTACACCCATAGAATGTACACGAATAAGCAGAAAACGAACAACTTACTCGTTTAATAGGATAACCAGTAGCTTTCCACAAAATATATCCTTCAGGAAAACCCAAAAGATTTATTAAATTAGCTTCATTTTGTGGCATAATACTGATACGGTCGAAAAGCAGACTCCAATCAATTTGTATAGTATCTACAACGTCCGGTGGTGCGATTAAATACAACAAATGTAATGGCCCACTAGTATTTACTGCTCTTGCGGCTGAACGAAAATCTGATACTAACGGTCCAATACGATCTGTATCGATTCCACCTTTTACGGAGGCTCTACCCAATTTAGTTGCCTGCCAAAAGTGGTAAACAGTAGATAAAAAGAGTAAATTAAGATATATTGATTAGTGAAACAAGTTTAGCCAAAACTATACCTTAGTAATTCTGTTTACTACGTAAATACTATGCTATATGACTGTACATTAATTCGACCATTTACCCTATTACAAATACATTCTTTTCATTTTCCTTCATATTTTAGACTGTTGACTTTACTTTGCAGACATAAAACTGTTCATATTCCAAATATTACTAATTTGAGAAACAGCAACTGATTAGGACTGAATCCAACTAAGTTATAAAAAAGAGGAAAACTGATAAACTACATCTTCCTATCTCTATGCAAATATAACAAGAGTGGAAAGAAAAGGATCGAAAATTCATGCTATCTTAAACAGCATAGATAACTTATTTCTAATACAGTCTACTTTTCTGCAAAATGCCAACCTAGAGGTTACAAGACTAACAACAATAAGCAATTATTGAGTTAAACAAACTTTTTCAAACTGTTAGATAAGTACCTGGAATCGAGCTTTTTGCCATTCAGTATTTTCTAATGCCGAAGTGGTTTTGTTGAGATACGCATCAACGGACACAACTATGATTAGATCCATTTTGAGTAGCGTATTTAGTTCGATGCGAACTAGGTCATCGAAATTTCCACGCTGATATAATCGGTACTGTACAGCCAATAACGTTTTCTCACACGACCACATAATATCTGGGTAAGTTACAGCCAACTACATAATTAAACGTTGTATAATATTGAATAGAGCGTAAATATGTTAAACCATACTTTCAAAAGAAACTATCAACCACATGATATTATTTGCATACATATTTATAATACAGTAGTATATATGAAATCTGCGACTGACTTATGATTTGAATATGAAAGCGATAGAAGGGTAAATGAACTGGTGACAGATCTTTAATAGCATGAGGGATAATTGAATACGTCTGCTGATTAGGAGCTTAAACTTTGAAACCTTAAAGAAAATTAGTTATCTGTGTTTATTTAAAGAAATTCAGTTGAATAGATTCGTTTATTTCGTTAATTTTTCAAGTAAACTATGTGATGAACGAAGACGTCGAGATCAGATGGAATAGTAACGTATCTAGAGAAGATACAGTTTACTAACAAAACGTGTGCACTTTATATTCTGGTCTTCAAAACATTTTAATCACGCCATACCTTCGGGTCCGGCAGTCTTTTCTCTAATAATAACTTCTCGGCGACACTTTGCTGAATACTACTGATAACCCACGCTGCAAGTAATATTCCCCACGACTGTATCATCCACTGATATCAAAATCTACAGTTACGTTACTGTTAAATAAACCATTGGAAACATGAATAAAAGGCTGGCATATTGACTAATACGATGTTCAGTTCACCAACATCATGTATTTTTAGTTAGCTGACCGAATATCCAATACGGTACATAGAATCCACATATATATACGCTCACATGCCACACAGTAATAGGAGCACGACAAAAACGAATCAGTAAAATAGTTGTTCATAAAAAAGACAATACTTCGTGATTGACAGTCGAGCTAAAAACTAACCAGTTCAAGATCAAACAAACGATAAGGGATGGGGGATTAACTGAAATATCATTGGTTAATTCATTCCTACGGATCACGTATTATTCATGTATTTCAACCATTGTATAAAGCTGAATAATACTAAACTAGGAAACTAATCGGCTGTTGAAGGGATTAATTGCTGATGCACACATAGGACCAAAAGTTGCCGCATATTTGAAAAGTTACAGATACTTACTTCAAGACCTATAAGTGAGAGTATAAATTGTCGTAAACCTTTTCCATTTTCATATGATAAACTGCTACTACATAGACTAGCTGGTTGATTATGTCGTTTAGTATTATCAGGGTCTGATGACAACTGAGGTGTGTCCGATAGCAAATGAGCAAACATTTGTCTTTCATTTGGTTGCAGTATTGTAATACTTTCACCAACAGTATCCAAACCAGCACGACCAGCACGTCCAACCATTTGTTGATATTGAGTACCGGACAGAAATGAACTACCGATATAAGGTTTGCGAATGATTACCCTATAATAAATAAAAATAGATTACAAAATTAGGTAGGCTTTTTTTGTGTTACACATGCTTGTTTTTCACTAAGTTTAATTCCACTGATAAAACGGACAGATTGTAAAACATTAAGACGAATAACTGTACTTTGGTTTAGTGTCGTAAGAGTGATCTATTTCAGAACAAACATCAGAGTTAGTGACAAACAATAACCAATCAACATTAAAACTATTTCATGAATATCAGACAGTAATTTTCTTGGTTATCTACAAAGGTATCATGTAAACATGATTTGAATGGCAAAAAATAGTTCCATTCAATCAACCAAATTATTACGAGTGACAGAAGTCAGAAAGAATGTAAAACCATAACTGTTACTTAAAAATTGGCTACCTTCTAGCTGGTAGATTAACGCCAGCAGCTAATGTAGACGTGCAACACAATACTCGGATAACTCCCTCATTATAAGCGGTTTCTAATGCATTCCTTTCTTCCTGTGTTAGTCCACTGTGATGGTAAGCTATCCCTTTAGGAACTGTATATTCCAAAACTGGGCAATGTGCTTGACCTTCTCCCTTTAAATTTGTATTGCTTTCAATTGCATTATCGAGACGTAAATTTTCCAATAACATTGATCTTTGTTCAACAATATTTTTCTCTGTCATATAGTCTTCGTCATTTGGATGCGGAAAACACGCAGCGATAGGAAGAAGTTCAGCTAACATTCTAGCTGTACTTTCACAATGTACTTTAGTTGGACAAAATACCAAACACGAAAATCTTTGTTTCGACGACCGAGTAAAGGAAGGATGAAATAGCCTATCAGAACACCAATCATTCATTGAATGTCCTAGCAAAGTTTCTGCAACTAGAGCAACTAAATGGTCTGGATCTCGAGAAAGCATCTTTTTTGTGTACTAAAATGATGAAAAAAGAAACACTTTAAGCGAAATATAACTATAATTATGACATCAGTTTACATGATCAGAATGTGGAGCTGAACGCTTTATGGGCAGAACAATCTAAGCTTGAAAAACACTCCACTCCATAAAAGAGATGTTATGTCAAGACCGACAATAAATTTTAAAGTTTTGAAATTAAGCAATAGAAATCAAAATATATTGGGTTTATGATAGTCTATTGGTGTACTATAAGCTAAAAACAATTATGATTGCTTAAATCAAAGAATTACGTAACAACTGTAAGAAATACTGATTGTTAAAACATAAAATTTGTATAAATCAACAATTCTGTAGCTAGTAAAACCACCAAATCATACAGGCTTAACAGGAACGCTTTATGAACTTATTGGAAAGTGGTGCACCTGAGAGTCAATATTTTGCTTTGAAAGTAAGCAAACATATTTTATCACTTCAGCGAGTTATCTTAAAAGACGATAGTTTTTTGTATATGACATTGCTAACATGATTTGAAACGATAATTTCGTTAACGTTCAGTCCATGCAAGTAAACATCAGTTGTATTTAAGTAAAGTATCCCATTTTCGAAGTTCATTCTAATCATGAAATAACAAAAATCTTGTTTCATGCATCGAAAAATAAAAATAAAGGCACACACTCATTTATATTAACCGATCAACAAGAATAAATGTAAGATATCAGACACCAGAAAATAGTAAATTGTGGCAAACATCATTTGTTACACTAACATTTATAAAAAACGGATAATAAGCAATTTATTACAAGATGTTTTAAATAAAAACTTGAAACAAACCTTGAAATCTACCATACGACAATGAACAAGTCTATCATTAAAATCATTTGTACCAGATGTACAGTGAGATGCTTTGGCAGATGAAATCTCATATAGATGATCACCAACTTTCACATATTCAACTAATTTGACTGGACGAAAATTGCTGACATATAATTCCGCACTAAGATAGTTAGTTAAATCAGAGATGTTGGAAAGGGTTGCACTCATACCAATAATGCGAGTAGTAGCTAGAAAGAAGAAACAGATGATGAAATACAGTCAGTCAGTTACAACGTAGAACACCGTACGTACGTATGTACATCAATTCACGTTACCATACCACATTAGCACAGAGACGCAATTGTCAATTCAAATGACATAGTAGAAGTATTAGCAGTAATCGGAGAGATTAGGGTTCGAAAATGTTATTCAAGGAGTATAATCCAGTGCAATAAACTTAAAAATAGAAAGATAAAAGTGATGAGGAATTCAAAAGGTTAGGATTTGACAGAACACAGAAAATGGATGCATCTGTGCCATTGCAAAAGGTTTTAAGCCATGTCATTCAAGGTCTCTAACCATCGATAACTGTCATCGCGGACTCCAACCAAGTAGTCTGCACGTACCAACATGACTCATTCCAGTTGTCAGTGACTTCGTGGATTTGTGCAATGTTTTGGTTTGGCCACTCCTAGCTTTCTTCCAACCTACTCCTTCACCCCAAAACAGAGCTCGACGAGGCAGTCCGCAGTCAGGCATACGTAACAGCTCTCACAACCAACCCAACTGATGAATTTTTTAATACTTCATTCCTACCTTGTACTCGTGTCCTAACGACAGCATTGCTTACTCGGTTGTCCAAGGATACACGAGCAGTGCTTCGAAAATATCCATAATGGAATGATGAAATACAGTATAAAAAACCATTCGCCTAACAATCGCAAAACATCTGTGCACATGATGCTTATACGAAATATATTATCAAAATATTATATGTCCTAGACAGAAAATATATTATGTATATTTGCTTCATCGGGAAGGTTTTAAGATTCTCAAAAAAACTTTATAAATAATTAAGACTTATTAACAGGTAATGTAAGGATTAGTAGAAAATTAACGCTTTTAAAGTCATAGAATTCTAAGGTGGTGGGATTGTAAACGATTTGACTTCTTTCTGATAACTGCCCTATGAAAACTGGCAGGGCTGAAAAATATAATATCCAACCTACAAACATTATCCCAAACACGAACTTGTAGAAACGAAACATTAGATGCCGCGAATGTTTTTTAAATCAATAATATGCTCAAACGAGAGAAACACAAGTGTAATCATGACGTTAGGTATTTCTAAACTTACTATATTGTTCGAAAACGTCAACAGTAAGAACATTTTTACCTGTAAAAGTTGGTATTACACTACGGTAATCGATTAGGTAATCAACCCCGTTGACAAAATGTACGAGGTACGATTTAGATCATTGGCATAATACAGAAATTACATAAACATAACAACAAACACGCAAACAACGTGTAATGATAAAACTTACGAGAAGACAAACGTAACTTCGTAAGGATAATTTCTAAGCATGCTCCGCGAGGTCCACCATCACCAATCATATGTAGCTAAAGAAAAGGCAAATATTAGTTACAAATATACATAGATAAACAGGGATTTAAAAAATTCCAGAAATACGTTTCAACGTAGTCAGTCAGTTACAACGTAGAACTTTGTACACACGTACATCCATTTAGGTTACCATACCACATTAGCATAGAGACGCAATTGTCAATTGAAACACCATGGTGGTAGAGATAGTAGAAATATTAGCGGTTATGGAGAAGATTAGGGTCCGAAGATATTGTTCAAGAAGTATAATTCAGTAAGACAAGTTTAGAAAGAGAAAGATAGAGATGATGACGAATTCAGAAGATTAGAATTCCATAGGACACAAAGATTGGATGCACCGGCGCAACTGTCAACGATTTTGAGCCATGTCGTTCAAGGTTCTTAACATAGCATTATGGTGTTCATACAAGAACAAAAAATAGTATTCACACTGAAACTCAACTCCCTCGTCGAGCTCTGTTTTGGGGTGAAGGAGTAGGTTGGAAGAAAGCTAGGAGTGGCCAAACCAAAACATTGCACAAATCCACGAAGTCACTGACAACTGGAATGAGTCATGTTGGTACGTGCAGACTACTTGGTTGGAGTCCGCGATGACAGTTATCGATGGTTAGAGACCTTGAATGACATGGCTTAAAACCTTTTGCAATGGCACAGATGCATCCATTTTCTGTGTTCTGTCAAATCCTAACCTTTTGAATTCCTCATCACTTTTATCTTTCTATTTTTAAGTTTATTGCACTGGATTATACTCCTTGAATAACATTTTCGAACCCTAATCTCTCCGATTACTGCTAATACTTCTACTATGTCATTTGAATTGACAATTGCGTCTCTGTGCTAATGTGGTATGGTAACGTGAATTGATGTACATACGTACGTACGGCGTTCTACGTTGTAACTGACTGAATGACTGATTCACACTGGAGAACATTGAAGTAAGCTACTTTTTAAAATTAATAACACTTTAGTCGAGTTTTCAAAACATTGATATACTGCAAGTAAGTAGAAGGATGAGACCATATTGAATGGTTTTTACATCAGGAGACAGGAAAGTTTAGCCAATGTTAAATAAGAGTTGGTAACAGAATTTAAAGTTCAACAACCACTACTTTATTTGCTACCCGTATCATGTATACCGATTACGAAACTTCTATTCCTAGTTAATGGTTGCATGATACCAAATGAAATTGATATGTCTCAATGAATTGCTTCTGACAATACGTCGTCAAAAAAATTAGCTAATGTCATCTACTGCAGTCCTCAGGGCTAGCTGATTTATATCGGCTGTGTATTATGTGAACGTCACTAAACTGGGTGACTGAGCTTCACTTCCTATTGTAACTGACATTAGATGATTTGAAGAACAAGACAGGAAGCTTTGAGTTACATTTGTTGGTGACGGACAATAACCCAAGCGAGTCTCTGGGACAGCAAGCGACTCTGAGGTTGGAGATCAATCTCACAAATATATGCCGACAAGCAAGTATAAGTATATGTATACGGCTGCTTATCGATCACCTCCAAACAATAAACATAAATTACTTTTTATATCTTTTGGCTAGGGCTTACATGAAGATAGAACATACAAAATACACAGAGACTACAAGTTATTACCTATTTCTTATCCACTTCAATCTCTACAATAAAACATGAATACTCCTGAAATGAAAACTCAGTAATATTGAAGACTGTAACTTGCATAACTAGATTTAAAAACATAATTCACCAAATCATAAGCATGAAGTTTGAAAATAATGTTGTATCTATATAGATTAAATCTACTGTTTAGTCTCAATAACGTTAGAATTATCCCAATGACTATCTTTATACTAGAAGAAAACTTTCAGTAGGTTTAATTTAAGGTTAGTGCTGCATTCATAACAGAATCGACAATAATTATGATTATTTATCCTAGTAGTTCAATGTAATCATTATATTTTTGTCTCACTTCATCCACAATGACTAATCCCAAAGTATCCAGTGACTTTGTATCAATCAACGAATTTACGATAGTATGTGCCTTTTCAATTGTAGCCATTAAAACAGAGTATGATCCATTACGTTTTACTGGAGGGATCCGCCCACGATTACCACTATATTCCTCTACCCAAAATCCAAGTTCTAGACCCATTGGTGTAAGCGATCGGACCTATGAAAAGTTTTACAAAAGACATAAATATAATAACAACTATTTTACAGATGTAGTTACATTCATTGACTGGAAATTCTAAATTATCATACAGTTCACAATTTTAACCATAAATTATGGAAATTAGCTGGTCGATAACTCCCTAATAAACAGATAAAAGGTTAACTTTGTCCTACTTTTATATAATTTGCTTTAGATCGAATATAATGATAAGTCAATCACGTTTGAGATGAGATAAGATTTACATGATAATTGGCTATGTACAAATTTCAAGAATGTCCCCTAGTTCTGTAGATTTTCATGATCGCTTCCTATTGATAACAAAGGAGATTGCTTAGGAAGCACACAAAAAGGGAAATACTTTAAAGGATAGTAAAATCACCAGAAAGGAGTGAATACATTTGCTTCATTGAGGTTATTTTCCAGCTAAACAGTGTTTGTTTGATAGGTATTAATTGCAAAACTTGCATGCACTGGACTGATGAACAAAGGCCATGCGTAGTTATTTCGAATCATTTGAGCTTTTTACTCTATTCCTACTCTAGGGTGGACCGTACACTGAAGTAGTAAGTAGGCATGTATCACACACTCGCAGTCGTTACAGATACATAGTAGCATTAACTCATTTTCACCCTCGACATAAGACTGTATTTTAAGTCAATAATATTGGTGTAATTTAAACGAGCACGAAAAATTTATGGTTGTTGGTTATTGTATTTAGGGGCGCATTGGACTGAACAAAGTAGTGAATGGAAATAACATGATCTAGGAACGAAAATCTGAAGCTAACAGGAACCGCCATCAAGTTAATAGATGTATTCTTTCACATTTTTAAAGCAATCACCTTCGATCATTAGGTTAGTTGGTTATCGTTTGATTAAAGCATAAATATAAGTGGCTTTTTTGGTGACCAATTAAAAACATCAGGACGATAAGAATAAGGATTTGATTTTTAGGTGGAACTGATTTTAACGTAACTCAATAACATACCTTCTCTTGAACTATTGACACAAACGGTAGAATGAAAAGCACACTTTTACCATTGATCAGAAGTTCTTTGAGCATAAGAATTTCTGCAACTAACGTTTTGCCTCCACTTGTAGGTAAACTATAGACAAGGTTAGCTCCATTTGCTACAGTTGTTAAATTAAGACATTCTACTTGCCAGTCTATCAAAGAAAATGATGTTTAAAAAGGATAAATGGCAGGTAAGCAGTAAGTCAAACAGATTTTCTAAAAAAAAAGAAATCCAACAATTATTTTATGCCGACAGGAAGGCAATATACATACTCAGGACGAAATGCTTAGCTTAGAAATCAGGAATTTATTAATCACATTCATACCTTTAAGCAGGAATTAAAATCAATCAAATAATAGACGAAAATATCTTACGAGAAAAATGAACGACTTTAAGCACTTGTTCCGTAGCAGTATTGTGTGAAGAAGTGTACTACTCGAAGGATTGACAAGTATAAATAAAAATAAGCTACCATTGAAGATTATTAATCGAAAACTGATCGATAAATACGGGGGCTATATTGACTTTTTGTAGTCTGACTTGCTTTTGTTCTTCAGAACCGATCGTAAGACATGCTGCAAACCATCAGAGTAACTTGACAGTGGAAAGCAATGAGTAAACTACTTCTAAAGGAAGATAATGAAAAATCAATTCTACAAGCACTTTTTGATCCAATGAATATCTACAAATACTTCAGTAACTTCACTACACAGACCACGATATAATTTACTAATTACGCGTACTAAAATATCAGAAAGATGGGTGTAAATAAGCTAGTGGTTATTCGGACACTTACTAAGGATGAGATAAAAACCAACTTTCGACTCAGGCAGCATTGATACTAATCCATAATGGAAATGATGAGGTAAAGGTGAGACGTAACAAAATAACATCATAACATGCTTAGTAAGGACTTTTCAGATTTATGTTGAAGACCTGCTCAATTCTCGGGTGGGATACCGAGGATATGAACCTTTTACTTTGACAACCATCGAAAGTTTTGACAATAAAAAGGTGTGAAAATATCTAGTATGGACCGGAAAAGTAGTTGGTCAATATCATTGTCCTTATAAGGTTGTGGAGATTTCGTGTTTTATTGAAATCATGAATCGACCAAGGTTAGGTCACCATAGGAAACTTGGAAGCACTGGACGGCCGTTTCGCCTTGGTATGGGACTCATCAGAATTGCGCAGCCACGCCTCCACAAGCAAGAATAGAACCAAGAACCTTCAATTTCGTGTGCGATGCTCAAGAGGCAAAGCGTTTGCACATCAATCAAGCATAACAATCTCCACAACCTTATGATGACGATTACCATGTGCTTATTATTGACCAGCTTGGTGAGGGTATTCTGAGTCCTAGTGAGAAGCCGTTAACAGCGGAGTTCAGTCGTGCTGAGTGCGAGGCATTTACCCACCAAAGATAATGGAAGATGGTCACCCAATATCGTGGATTGACTCAAGTTAGACACTAACACTGTTAGGTGCCGGCTCAGGGGTTCGCACAAGAAACCGGTCGTCGGTTCGGTTTCCACTTGCGGGATCGTGGATAAGTCCGATACAAGGACGAAGCGACCGCTCAATGTTTTCAGGTTTCCAAAGGTGGCCTAACATTGGTCAGTATTCATGGTTTCACCGAAACGATTTTGCATCAAGTTTCAGATCTGGAGTTCGCCCTTCAGAAGAACTACTTTTACGATAACTAATAACGGCTTAAAGTATGAAGGGTTGTTTTGATCTTGAAATATGGATACTAATTAGCATAACTTATAGAATAATTCTTGATATTACACTGAATTTCGGATTTTAAAAACAGTTATTTTGGAACCAAAGCTTTTTGAGGTCGTCATACCAGACAGATAAGTTGAGAAAAGCACATTTACAATTGTAATGTATTTTATACGGATAACCAGCATTTTAAACAAATGTCTCACAAGATCCAAGGAGCTAATATAAAATACCCACTCTAAAAGCATGACACCTCTCTACAGGGCCAAAGGTAGGATTTAAAAATTAACTTTGAAGCCAAAGTGGGTAGGGTTGGCTAAGTAGAAATACACATGTGCAGGTTTTGTTATTTCAATCCTACGGAATACAACGTGCAAAAACCTACTTCAACAGCAGTTGAATAAAATATCACTTCTGAACCGCCAGCTTTAGTCATTAGGAGATACCTAACTCAGCGACGTTCGATGACGACTCAATGATGGACATATTATTTTGAGTAATTAAAATATGTTCTTGAATGTTAGAAAAACTCTGGTACTATGTATATTCAACCTTAAATTAAGATAAGAACAGCGGATTTTGATAGCTTTTACTAAAGAAAAATGTTTGGTAAATTCATTTTAGAGAGCTCTGAACACTGTACTGAGCGGGGATAGATTAGGCATGGAATGAGAAAAGTTTTTATGATGAAGACAAGAATTAATGAACAATGAAGGAATGAATTGAGATGACAGAAAAGACAAGAATAAACAATTGCTTAGACTTATTGAAACGGTTAAGGTTAAACGAAAAAAAAGCAACATAAACTTTTGTGCACATGTATAGCGAACTACAGAATAAATAAAATGGATGAAGAAATAACATATTTTTGAACATAAATGTACAGACAGTCACTAGTTCTCATGCGTATTTATTAGACTCGGTTTATACAAAGCAAAAAATGTAAATACTTTTATGGTTTTCAGACCCACTACGATTTCTGATGCACGTGCGGTTGGGCTAAACGACCACGCTAGACTACTTAAATTGTACGTAGCTTGGATAGTGCCTGATTAATCTGAAAATCAAAGTAATACCGAATTGCCCCCTAGAAAAATACAGCTGTGTATTGTGTTAAGGTATCAAATTGCTTTCATACGGTTGTGTTTAAACCTGACTCCATTTATTTCAGTTTTAGTAGTGAGATGGAAGCACTAAATCACACAGAGCTTGCCTCAAAAGTGAGATACTGAGTCGAGTTATCCATGATCAAAATAAATACAGTAGTTCATGATAATGCCAAAATATTTGTGGTCACTCATTTCGGAAAATCACTAAATAGTAAGTATCACGTCAAAATAGATACACAATACTTACCATATAGCTTCGTCACACCTCGAAGTTCATGAAACAACTCTTTTACGCGTAAAGGCAGACCAAAAAAGTGACCTGGGGTTTTCTCATTTTCGGTACTCTCTGCGAAGGATTAGAATAGCCGTCATTACCTGAACAATATAAAGTGCTTTGTTCAATAAGTGACAACGTATGGAGCGTACTTGGCTTGTCCAAAGCCTGGGGATCTATAGCATGTCTGAGACTTCGGGTAGGCGTTGAAGAAGTTAGCGACTTAATTCTCCTCGGCCTTTAAAACGAAAATTCATCAGTTAAGAAAAACATTTCTAAATATATATTTAAGGGTCGATTGGCTTTGGCTAACTTGTGTCACTTATGGCGTAGGCGGGATATCCGTCTACCAATCAAAGGACGGGTTTATTAAGTAGCAGTTTGCTCCAGCCATTTTTATGGCTGTGAAACATGGACAATAAGGTTAGAGGATATTCGTAGGTTACTGGTTTCTGATCATTGGTGCCTCAGAAGCATTGCTTGTATGTCCTGGGACTGTCGAGAAGACAGTGAAGTTGTTAGGAAACGGGTAATAGGTGAGGATGGAAAATCAATTGATGAGTTACTGAAACGTGTACCCAACTACCAACTGTCTCGACGAGCAATGTTGTTTTATTTGGGGGTAGGCTGGAAGAAAGCTAGGAGTGGCCAAACCAAAACATTGCACAAATCCACGAAGTCACTGACAACTGGAATGAGTCATGTTGGTACGTGCAGACTACTTGGTTGGAGTCCGCGATATGACAGTTATCGATGGTTAGAGACCTTGAATGACATGGCTTAAAACCTTTTGCAATGGCACAGATGCATCCATTTTCTGTGTTCTGTCAAATCCTAACCTTTTGAATTCCTCATCACTTTTATCTTTCTATTTTTAAGTTTATTGCACTGGATTATACTCCTTGAATAACATTTTCGAACCCTAATCTCTCCGATTACTGCTAATACTTCTACTATGTCATTTGAATTGACAATTGCGTCTCTGTGCTAATGTGGTATGGTAAAGTGAGTTGATCTACATACGTACGTACGGAGTTCTACGTTGTAGGTGACTGACATATTTATGTATATGTATAAACGTGCCACCTAATAATAGTAAGAGGAATCAGTCACAGCAGTTCGAAAAGAGCTATCCCGTATAACAATATCTAACAGAGTCCATATGCTTAGTGCTTTCAGCAAGCTGATGCATGTACCTTTGGCTGGAATGCATCCTTTTTCAGTGAACTTACTTAGAAAGTGAAATATCATTTTGCATTTGTAATCCGGTGACTATTTATCAACACAAACGTAGCAGATTGACGGCCACTACACTGAAGAAAACTAATCTTATTTATGAGTCTTTGAAGTAGGGAATTATCAACTTTACGTATACATGGGTAGTTTGAATAAGCGCAAAATTACTAAAGATATGACAGAAGTTTCTGGATTGTGAGTAGTGACCATGCACGTGGTTTCCAATATCTTTTTGACAAGCTAGTATAAACCAACTGGTTTCTTTGCGTTCCAATCTTGTTCTTTTAGTACGGTCCAAGGTAGTTGAGTGTCCACTGAATGGTAGTCTAGCCACTAGACTGCACTAATTTAACTCAGCTGGCAGCTGGTTGTGAGTTTGAAAGTCCTGTGATTTAAATGAATACGTTTGTTTCAGGGCAGTAGGGTTTCTGGATACCAACAACCATCACGTTACCAGGCCGGAGATCAGCTAGTTGCAACGTGGAGAATAATAAGGAGAAAAGTTTAATGCTAAGATTTTGGAACTAAGTAACTAAATGGATAAGTAAGTTAGTTACTTGGCAGTGAAGATTGTTCTAGAGGATCGGACTGTAAACGAGAACAAGGAAACAGAGATCATATACAAGATAGAGTAAGTTAGTGTTCTGAGGCAATTCCGTTAAATTATTATCTATGCCAGACAAAAAATGGAAACTTGTTTTAACTATGAATGAATCTTCATACTATGGAGACTTAACAGAAATCCCCAGTTCATTGGGATATGAATTAGCTCAGTATTTGCTATCCTACAAGTAGCTCAAAAATATCACTGGTAACGAGGACAAGTTATCAACAATAGTTGTATCCGGATTTTCACCTATGACTATTAAATAAACACCAGCGCTTGTGTAATTTAACGGGATGGGAGAAAATGACAACCTAACCAACCAACCTCATAATTAAATTATGACCTTATTGATCATTAATATAATGAAGATACGAACAAACACCAGATGTACTACATACAAATCAGTCTTTGGTAATAAAAAAGGTAGGTCAGTCAACTTTTGATAATATTCAATGGATGTTTACTGGTCAATACATATTTTTTATAGTGTTTAGATCACTATATATGATGTTATTCATATCCAATATCCAATATCTTTTTCACGAGCTAGTGTAAACCAATTTGATTTCTTGTTCTTTCGGTACGGTTCCAGAATCTCTTATCTTTCTATTGCACGGTGACCAATGATAATTCTAGGGGAGGAATAAGAACAGGCTCTAAGTAAACTGAACTTGCGGAATGAAGTATAAGATAGCTTCGTAACTAAGCTTTCACTTTTGTACTGTTACCGAGTAATCCAGACCTAAATAATTTACTCTGTTGGCTCACCCTCCGTGTTCTCCTCCTGTATGAAGTCCTGGATTAACACTAAATGCTGTGGTTTTAGGTCTTATCTGCCTTTAGTTACATACTTTCTTCATGAAAATTTTGGCAAAAGGTGTTTGATACACGTTCGGGAAGGTCGTTCCCCTCCATCATCCGATGTATTTAAGTCAAGCTTGATTCGTTCACGCTTGCTTTTTTGGGGTTATGGTTCGGTTATAATCACTTTTAATTTCGAATATTGGCAGTCTATTCACTCATTTGACATAATCCTATTGGATGTGATAACGAAATGGAGGTTAATATTTCTTGCATAAAAATGAGCTCATTTGTTCTAGAATCATAATATTGCTAAGACCAGAAGATTCCACACCACCCAGAAAGAAGTTTGTTCGGTGCAGCATATGGAGTCATTAGAACTAAAATGAAGAAAAGTAAAGAGAAGGTAGTGAATACTGTTGGTAAGTGAAAGTGTTTACGTGAAAGATTTTAGATGAGATGAACTAATTAAAATGAGATGGTGGAGAGAATTTCTAGCTCAGGTGTTTCGTTCTCTGAGCTGTATGTCTTGGTTGTGGAGATTTCATTGTTCTTCTGAACAACATCAACAGCACAAACTTCAGACAGAAGTGAAGTATTCGAATTTCTCCGCGTTTGTCTTTAATTTTATTTGAAAAATTTTAGCCATCTGTATGAAGCCAGTGTATGTTGTGAAATATTTCAGTAACCAAATACCGTTCTACAAAAAATATGTTGACAGTCTTAACATTTTGATCTTGTCTGTAAATCGGCATGCCTCTTGTAACATGTTGATATTTGAGTGTTCCGTTAGTGGCATCAATATTTTTTGTTCTGCTCTTCTCCCCTCCCCTTTCTCTTTTTTCCGCACTTCAACTATTGTATCGTACAGCCTACAGCCTAATACATTATTTGCAATTTATTAGTAAAATATTAGCCCTCTAAAGAAATTCAATGTATCTCGTAAAATAATTATTTAATTGAACAACTTTTCACAGTAAATGTGTTGGGATTTTTAACAGTTTGTTTTTGACTGTAAACTAGCATGCTCTACATAATAGATTGTTATTTGCGAATGATTTTTATCATGGTCATTATCAAAATTATTATGAAGACGGGTAAATTTAGATCGAACATTTTCTCACTCCTAGTTCCCAGTGCGAAAATTCTATAATATATACTTATGTGTGGTCGAATTTTCTAAAAAGTCAGAATTATTCTCATTTTTCGATATAATTTTACGACATCTTACTTAATGTTTTTGGTGTTAGGTTTCTACCTCGCCTATATTTTGCAAAGTCCCTCTCTATAAACCATACTGTGTCAAACTCAGAACAGAGAAAAACCGGGGGGATAAGTTTGATTTTCCACCTCTGGACGCATTGTTTTTAGTACGAAATATCAACTCACAGAATCGGATCGCGGTGACCCCGAGTTGCGGTTTGCCCAACTGGTATTAGGTCTAAGGTATTGGGATACCAAGATTTGCACATTCCACAGCATGTTTTTTAGTCTCTTTAAATCGTAGCCATTTATAATTTCAAAACGTAAAATAATGAATCATCTGCCTGTACCAGATGGACAAGGAATATACAGGCTTTAACCGGGAAAGATCCGAGGTATTGTGTTACCATCCCAGTCCTTACGTTACCCTTAGACTTGGTTGGCGGCAACATATGTTTCACTACAAGGGTGCATACAAACTCTCTTTAACACTATTTACTTCACTAATCATGTCTTTTGTAGTTAGAAATATGGAAATAGAGGGTAATTTTAAATCCAGTAGATGACGATGGAATGAGGATGCATCAAAATAGGTATTTTCGGAGTTCAGACTTCAAAAGTTAATTAGGCTAGAAGGGACTATGCGAAATTAAAGAGAGATGGACACTATAAGATGACATCCAATACCGAGTACTTTGAGACAAATTATATCGTTAATAATTTAAATTTACTTCAATCACTGATCCTTACTGTCTATGTTGCAGATACATTATTGTGGAGAAAAACTAGATGCAGTTAAGTTTGATTTGTTGGCATATTAAGTTAAAGAGTTAAAGAATAAGGTTTTCCAAGGCATCTATGTTCAAGTGATTTGATCTGCTACTGACTCAACAAAATCAATATCGCTAACCTTCGTCTTCTGAAATACGATAGCATTAATATTTAGTAATTTTGATATTACATGTCATTTTGAAGCAAATACTACTATCGGAATAATAAACGCAGGGTATATACGACAGAATTAAGAGAAAGACATATGTTAGTTGACTAAAAAGTGTTTGGCATACCAATAGACGAATGTTGTCCGTCAAGCATAAAAGGACTCAAAATAATCAAACCAGTCATACAAATAACTGGTATCACAGCTGAGATGGCCACCAAATTTTTCATTAAAAACTGCTACTAACTACGGAAACCTTATAATTATATAACAAATGACAGATCGGCCTCAGTCGCATGTGAGAATTTAGAAGTTGAAAGAAAAAGTCTCACGGAGCACTATTCACAGGCAAACTGGCTTGTCGTACGTTTCCATCATCAGTTGAAAGCCGACGTAGTATTACACACAAAATCCACTCAGTCAACAGAATTCCTGCCATCAATTACGTTGAAAATAGAAGCATTATTCAAAAACGATCATTGATAATTATTTATTATTAAATAACAACATGTTACAAGAGGCATGCCAATTTACAGGCAACAACATAATGTTCAAATTGCTGACATATTTTCTGTGGAAGCTTGTTCAGTTACGCCAGTATTTCTCAAGATAATGTTTTAGACTTTGTAATGTACAGTACAATTGTTGGTATGGGTAATGTCGTTGGCGTTGTGAAGAATGACTGCTGGTTCAGAATCAATGGAACGTAAATCCAGGCCTGTATTTAACAGAGATTGATGTGGTAAGTGGCTTTTGCCGGATGACAAATTGACAGGCTCCTGTGTAAAGCAAATGTGTTTCCGATAATATCAAGGCCATTATTGGAAACATAGGGTGAGGTGCTAAAATAGCGGAAGAAACAGGATGGGTAAGAAGCAGAACAGAATACACCTATATATATAGCTGATTCATAACCCAACAGAATCTTTTTTGATGAAAACATTAAAGTTATTGTTACTTAGACTTTTCTTCTACTGTATTAGATCATTTACTAAACACATGCATTTTTGTAGAAGAATAAAGACAAGTTATTAGTAAGATAACGAATAGGCAATTTATTGTGTGCAAAGAGGAGATTCAAAAGGACCGAACTGTTGAGAAATATATAAATCTACAAGATATAATAAAATAGTACAGTTATTTTCTGCACCAGTGATTTTTTCACATCACTGATCAAGAAATAGTTTCATTTTTTAAGTGAAGAAGACTGAATATATATATATATATATATCATTGCTAATGAGTATTATTCGGCTATCAAATGAACTATTTTAACACTTGTCTTCCTGCTCAAATGGCCATATTGACGTGTTAACTTATCTCTGGGACACTGCTGATTACAACGCCGTTATATCAATACATAAACGGAAACTGAACCTGAATCTACTTCATTATTTTTTCGGATACTTGAGCGTTGAGTGTGAACTGTGAACTGTAAGTACTTTACATTTATCGGTGACAGATTTGAAGAGAAAATTACTGGTTTCTAAGGAAGAAGTATTGACAAAATTATTCAGTATCAGATAGGGTAAAACAATGGGAAAGCACACTCATATTTTCTATTCCCAAAATGACTGTGATGATACCGCTTACTAATATGAATTCATTCACTTGACTGAACTGCTAAACAAGATTTAGCTTTTCTGAACCAACTAGAAGTGCTCCGATGAGTAGGCCACTGGACAGCCATCAAGATATATTAAATGACAAGTACGCGCTATTGGTTAAGAAATAGTTCCTTAATCTAAGGAGGTGAATTAACCTTTGTAGATGAGTGTGTGTTCATTATATTCGGTAATTAAGTAAACCTTCTCTGCAGCTTTTTACCTCCTCATTCAGGAAGCCAGTCTCAGCTGGCGCGTTAGAATTTGTGGCTTTCAGAGCTCGGAATCATGCACCACAACACATTTGTGTGTTAGTATCTGGAAAAGCTAGGTGAAAGCATCTCTGTGATGTTCAGACTACGTGAAGAAATAGGAAAGATGATTTCTTACATACATTAGTCCGAATATACTTACATTAGTACATTTTCGGTAAGCTAGCTAGAAGTAGTTTGGATCAATATCAGTGAATTATCTTAGAATAGTTCCATACCTGTGTAGTTGGAGATAAAACTGGAATCGGAATATCCCGTTATTAATACCGACTATCTTAGCTTATTACCCTACTAAATTCACTTTTATTGAAATAATTCATAGTTTGATGTGTAAAACACCGTTCATTTTTATTAAACTGTACAAAGTAGGGAATTTTCTAATAGAATTTATTAGGCCAAAGAAATATTCAGTTGTAGAAATGCTGCCCTTGCTTTGCTGAATTGCGCCTTCACATTTGAATTAGATTCATCTCCCTCGTCAATGATGCTGCCCATGTACCTAAAAGGATGGTTGCTGTGTATGTAGGAAGGGGCATCGTCCTCGCTACTTCCGAACGAACTCGGCTTTCATCATGAAACATCATCACTCTTCCAAATGAATACATTCTGAACCCCAGGCGAGAGTTAAAATGGTTTGAATTGATTTTTATGGTAAGCGTATTTTTAGCGGGTTAGTTTTCTACGGAATGGGGTAACCAATTCCAAGCTCAACTCCCCCTTTATCCGGGCTTGGGACCGACAGTAGCCTTAGAGGGGCTCAGGGCATAGAAAAGACGCGCTCTAAATACAAAAGCTCCACTTCGCGGAAAAATGTCTCTTTCTAAAAAACGTGTTACCAAGAATTAGCAAGTAAATCAATAATACGTGGAGAAATCATTTAACAGTAAGAAACTTAAGTGAGAAAAGAAACAAATTTTTCTAACACTACGACGATAGACTCCAGCTCTTAGGATTATTTCCACTGAGCTACAGGAGAATCAGAGGCGATCTGAGTATGGCGTACACCATATTAAACACGCCAAACCATCCCAATGTGAGCATCTTACTGATGCATCACCGCCAATCCCCTCGAGGCAGTCCTCGAAAGGTTGCACATCAAAGAGAGAATACTCAGATTCTTGCACACTTTTTCTCATTACGAGTCGTCGCAACTTGGAATGCTCTCCCAGCCGAGGTGAACACAGCCCCCTCAGTGGACTGCATTAAGAAGAGATTTGATAATCACGTACTCACATACGGACTATCATATTCCTCTTGGACAAGCTATTCATGATGCATATATTGAGACTTGCTAGTTGTTATCGTTGCCATCTCCTCAGATCACTCAATTAACCTTTCTTGCCTTTTATCTCTGTTTCCTCTCCCTTGCTTACACTTCGGTCCTCTCTTACAATCTCCACTAACAATTAATAAATTAAATTCATCTATATATTACTCAGTTCTGAAATTTTATTCATATTATCATTAGAATTTTATCCTTATTGCCCTTATTACTCTCTACAGTCACTAACTGATCTCCTGTCTGGTAATGTGACGGCTGTTAGCATCCAGAAACCCTACTGCCCTGAAACAAACGTTTCATTCAAATCACAACCAACTGCCAACTGACTAGAATTAGACAATCGATTAGCTAGACCTCCATCGATCGGACATTACCGAACACCTGGAACCGTATCGAAAGAACAAGATTTGAGCGCGAAGAAATCAACTTGGTTTACACCAGCTCGGGATAAAGATATTGGATATTGGATGTACATAATGCTAAGTCAGTACATAAGATAACCTAATTATTCGGCAAAAAACTGTAAATGTTTAAGTGTCATAATTAGAGATTATTTCACAGTCCGATCTGATTACATAGCCGACGCTTCAATGGTTTTGTTTTATCGTTCATTCATCTCCAATCGACATACATACTAATCCGCTAACCTTGGGAGGGCATTTCAGTGTAAGCAATGACCTCTAAACGAGCTGTAGTGTCTGCTGTGAATTGGTCTGAGCTTTATTCTAAATGCCCCAAACACCAATTAGATCAATTTAGAGAGTTGAAGACTAAAACGGACAGTCTTGTTTCCAGGTTAATTAGTTGATATTGCTTTAATCATTGGTTATAGGATAACATCACTCCCAGAATCGCTGCCACCAATTAATTGGGAACACTATGCTCATGTTGTCCCCATTCCAGGGCTTGTTGATAAATTCAAGAAGCAATATACAAGTTTCTCAGTTGATTACCCTAAAGATAAGTCGGATGCTATCACTAAAGTTGAGAAGCAAGGGAGTGTTATGGTGAGTGCTTATGCCTACCTGATGACTTTGTAGATAGCTAATGCTAAACGTCATGCAGATGCTTGTTTGAAAATGAAAGCTAGTGCAGAGAAAATGGTATTTATTCCTAACTCATGTATATTTTGTCCTTAGAAATCTGCGCTAAACAAACTGCCCCCTATAGATGAGGTTGTGCCGGAAATCGCAGTGGTATATTTCGGGTGGCAGGGAGACCAGTTTATTAACCCAAGGAAACCGATATCTCTAGGGAATACAATCATTTTGAAAAAGTCTGCACCTGTGATGCATTGGGATTTCAGTTAATCTAAATGATCAGTTCTTTCGACTTATTCGATTAGTTTGTACGTTTCATGCCTTCTTAATTTAATAGAAAGTACTCAGTAAACTAATTATAACTTCTGCTGGTCATCTCAGCACTCTAGAGGACTTGAAAGTTAGGTTCCAAAGTTTTACACCTTAAATATTCTGAAACCCTGTCATTTACAATATTTTGTGGAACCAGCCAGTCGTAGTAACTTGAGGCGGATAGTGATGTTCACGAGATTCTTATTGAGTACATAAATGTTAGTTGGCGGTACTTACTTCCAAAATCCGTGAATCCCATAACACAATACTAGTTCGACAATCCGATGTTTGTTGGGTTGTGACAGTAGTAAACTCTCGTCACTGAGTCGTCTCATTCATTCCTATTGCTCGTGCTCTGTTAAGTGCCAGGTAATGTATCCGTATTTAAAACATGAACTTCATGGTGTTCGAGTAAGTTTATAATACAGCTCATTGAAAAGCCGAAGTGTTGATTTCTTATACGCCACTCTTCATTCTGTGCCGCCACTTAGCCAGAAACCTTATTGATCGTTCTCATTCATAACTAAAGTGTGTAATTTGATAATTTGAGTGGGATTGCATATATGCGACGGGGACTCCATCCGTCTGCAGCGTTGCCTTCCCATCAAGATTTTATACATGGAAATATGCACGATTCTCGTTTGTTATTTGATAATAGTTCACGTTATCGCGACCAATCCACTAACAATAGAACTCCGGTTACAGATGTATTCCAAATTTAGTGTGCCACAGAACCCAAAAAGTTCACATACTGATTGTCTTCTCCTTATGAACATTGTAAAGCATTGTAACAATGAGGCCAATTTCCTTTAAGTAACGAGGCTAAGTTGTTTCCAGTCTGTTAGTAGTCATTTCGAGAGAAGTGCGTCAATCAGTCCGATGAGTTGTTCTGAGCCTTGCTTTACTTTTGTCTGTCAGATTCCCACTCGAAATGAAGAATGTTGCTTCAGGATTAGCTTGCGTGGGCACCTAACCAACCGCTTCACTTATCTTGAGACTCTCATCAGGCCTCGTATGTAACGAAATCGCGGCACACATACAGGAGGCTCAAATGGCTTTTGCCAACTTGCGTCACTTACGGCGTAGGCAAGATATCCGTCTGCTAACTGAAGGTCGAGTCTACTACGCAGCAGTTCACTACATCCAATTATACGGGTTTGAAACATTGCCACTAAGAATAGAGGGTATTGATAGTTACTAGTATTCATACATAAGTGTCTTAGGAGCGTTGCTCGTTTATCCTGGGACCAGTCAGTCAGTCAGATGCAACGTAGAACTTTGTACATAAGTACATCAGTTCGTGTTGCCATACCACATCAGCACAGAGAAGTAATCGTCAATTCAAATCCAATAGTGGAAGAGGTAGTAAAGGTATTAGAAGTAATCGGAGAGGGTAGGATAAGAAGATATTATTCAAGAAGTATGATACAGTGAGAAAAGTTTAGAGAGTCGAAACTAGAGGGGTTGAAGAATCCAGAAGATAAGCATTTGAGAGAACACAAAGAATAAATGCACCGGCGCCATTGCGAACGATTTTGAGCCATGTCATTCAAGGTCTCTAGCCATCGATTATTATCATCTCGCGGACCCCAACCAGGTAGTCGACAATTACCGACATGGCTAAGTCCACTAGTCAATGACTTCATGGATTTCTGCCATGTTTTAGTTTAGCCGCCCCTAACTTTCTTCCAACCTATTCCTACATTACAAAACAAGGCTCGACGAGGCAGTCGGTGGTTGGGCATACGCAACACATGTCCCAACCACCTCAACTGATGAAGTTTCACCACTTCATCGATTGATCTGCCATTCTTACCTAGCACCCGATTCCTAATAACAGCGTTGCTCACTCGGGTGTCCCACGATATACGAGCAATGCTACGGAGACACCTATGATCGAAAACCAGTAACCTACGAATATCTTCTACTCTCACTGGCCATGTTTCACAGCCATAAAGTAAGACGGAACGAACTACTGCGCAGTACACTCGTCCCTTAGTCAGCAAACGGATATCTCGCCTACGCCATAAGTGACGCAGGTTGGCAAAAGCCAATCGAGCCTTCTGTATCCGTGCTGAGATTTCGTCAGTCACCAGGCCATCAGCACTGATGAGATTCCCAAGATAAGTGAAGCGGTCTACACGTTCGACTACTTCACCCCCTATCACTAGTTCAGGTGCCGATGCAACCCAGTCTTGAAGCAACATTTTGCATTTCGAGGGGGAAAACCGCATCCCGAACATGCTTGCATTGTTGTTTAGGGTAGTCAGAAGACTCTGCATTTTATCAGCGTCTTCACCAAGTAGGACAATGTCATCGGCATATTCTAAGTCAATAAGCGAGCCACCTGGTAGAAGGTCTACTCCTGAAAATTCAAACGAGGATAATGTTATGTCTAGGAGCATGTCTATGATAAAATTAAACAAGAATGGAGAGAGTGGACATCCCTGACGGACACCACTTGATGTAGAGAATTCCGGTGACAGTTCGCCATAAGCTCTCACTCGACCAGTGGTGTTCGAGTAAAGAGCTTGTATAAGGTTAATGTACTTCTTTGGTACATTTTTCAATGACAGACACTGCCACAGAACCTTACGATCAACAGAGTCAAATGCCGCCTTAAGGTCTAGGAAAACAACTATTGTAGGACGCCTAAATGTGTGTCTTTGTTCCAGGACCTGTCGTAGTGTGAAGACGTGGTCTATACAGCCACGTCCCGGTCGAAAACCAGCCTGGTTTTCTCGAGTCTGCTCTTCACGAGCTTTCGTTAAGCGTCGAAGTATTATTGAGGCCAATATTTTAGATACTATATTAGTTAGACTTATTCCCCTGTGATTGTCACAAGAAGACTTTCTGGGACCAATCGAGTAGGCAATAATGGGGCTAGAAAAAGGATGGCAAGTTAGCTGATGAACTAGTGAATCTTCGTCAGCTAAGGTGGTTAAGGCGTGTGTTACGAATGCCAAACTACCACCTACCTCAAAGAGCGATGTCGTCGGAGGTACGGGTAGGCTGGAAGAAAATTAGAGGTGGTCAAACTAAAACTTGTTACAAGTCCATGAAGGCACTGACAACTGGAGTGATGCATGTTAGTAGGTGTGGACAGCTTGGTTAGGGTCTGCAAGACAATCGTAGCTGGCGGTTAGAGACTGAATGACATGGCTCAAAATTGCTTGCAATGGTGCAGATGCATCTATTCTTTGTCTTTTTATATGACCTCATGGACTGAATACCTATTCTTTGCATTTCAAAAAAATGATTCTCTGGATCATTCTTCCGTAGGATAACCGAGTGAGCAATGCTGTCGTTAGGACTCGAGTACTAGGTAAGGATGGCAGACCAATAGATGAAGTGGTGCAACTTCATCAGTTGAGGTGGTTGGGACATGTGCTACGAATGCCTAACCAGCGACTGCCTCAATGAGTAGATTGGAAGAAAGTTAGGGGCGGCCAGACAAAAACATGACAGAAATCCATGAAGTCACTGACAAGTGGACTGAGTCATGTTGGTAGATTTAGGCTACCTGGTTGGGGTTCGCGAGACGAAAGTCACCAATGGTTAGAGACCTTGAACGACATGACTCAAAATCGTTTGCAATGGCGCAAGTGCATCCATTCATTGTGCTCTCTCAAATCCCAATCCTCTGGATTCGTCAGCACCTCTACTTTTTTCTTTCTAACCTTATCTCACTTCTTGAATAATATCTTCAAACCCTAGTCTTCTTCATTACCATTAATACCTCTACTATCTCTATCACTATGGGATTTGATTTGACATTTGCGTCTCTGTGCTAATGTGGTATGGCAACCTGAACGTATGTACATACGTACGAAGTTCTACGTTGCAACTGACTGACTGAATGACCATTATCGCTAATATTTCTACTGCCTTCACTACAATGTGGTTTGAATTGTCAATTGCATTTCTCTGCTGTGGTATGTCCACTCGAACTGATATATTTACGTAGGGAATTCTACGTTGTAGTAGACTGTCTTTCAGATTGTCCTAAATTGGTCCATTTACTGAGCGCAGAAGTTACTTATTAATTACTTTTACTACCACTCGTTCAAGCTAAAGCAAAGAATAGTGTCAAACTTATGAAAAGCAAACAGAAAACGGCGTCGATACACACAAGGTAGAATAACTGTCATCTACAACGTTATTGGTAAAATAACTATAATTTTTACAACTAACTTCCTGACCACTTCTGTCTACTTCTCAGTTAAACGTCTTCTTTCAGTTGTAAGTATCCGTAAGTCGACGACTAGTAGCTGTAATTCTGCTGGACGACTAACAACGATATATCCGTTCAAAATTCGTGCGACCAACTCTTCGTTTTACTGCTCTGTAACCGTGTCCGTGCGAAGAACCGACGATTGGGTTCTGACCGTAATCACTGACATTAAGATATAGATAAGAGATACGTCTGCAACTTGAGATGATTGGGCTAGAAGAAAGTCAGGCGGTTACCTGGTATCCCATATAAGGGACCGATATTCTCATGCTGTTTTTCAAAATAATTCGAGTGGAGCCCCTTCGGGGCTGCTGCTGGTCCCAAGCCGGGATAAAGGAGGAGGGTTAGGTTGGCGACCATCTCCCGTAGAAAACCAACTCGCTAAAAGAACGCCAACCAAAAGAATCAATTCAAACCATTTTAACTCTGCCCCGGGAGTTAGGTCTTCATTTAGACCGAAGAAAGACGCTCCCACACCAAAACATCGCTCGTCGAGGTCGTCAGATGTACGTAACACACGTCCCAACCACCTCACCTGATGAAGTTTCACTACTTTATCTATCGATTTGCTAACACTATCCAATACTCCTTTCCTAGCAGAAGCATAGCTTACCCGGCCGTAGCTGTCACCTTGACGAGGTTGTCGGGTATACTTATCTTGACGACCCAACCGAGCTATTTTGCCTAGAACATATATTCCTGTAGTTTCTACCATGCCAGGTAGGTCGATTGGCGAGCGATGAGACTAAAAGCAACTACTCAAGGTCTGAGGGCAAAGTCGTACTGCTGACTGTAGAGAGATGTGACAGCAGTAAGGTGTTTCCCTTGGACAACCAAAATCTCCAGTGATGATGCCTTCTCATAAGGAAGGAAGGAATTAGAAAAGTTCGACCCTAAAATTGTCACGCTTCACCTTACCTCACGGATTTCCGCCTCAGGTGGTAAGGCAATTTGAAGAGCGGAAGAAACAATATTGAAAATATCCAAGAAAAGGGCCTTAAGCAGTTGTCCCTTGGGTTCTGCGGTAACGCTCTTAGATCGTTAAGACCAGCACTAATCTACCTTCGTTTTCAGGTCCTTCAAAGGCACCCTTCCACGGTGTGGGTAGCTGGGAAGTTACATCCGCCCTCATACACGTACCAGCACACGAGACAAAATCAGTCACAATCAGATGCTTCCTATACCCACAGTCAGTCAGTTACAACTTGGAACTTCGTACATGAGTAAATAAGTTCAGGTTGCCATACCCCATCAGCACAGATACCCAACTGTCAGTTCACATCCAATAGTGATAAAGATAGTATAAGTATTAGCAGTAATGGAGAAGATTAGGGTTCAAAGACATGATTTAAGAAGTATAATTCAGTGAGATAACTTTATAAAGAGAAAGATGGTGAGAAATTCCGATGGTCAGAATATCAGAGAACACATGAATGAATGCACCTGCGCCCTTGCGAGCGATTTTGAGTCGTGTCGTCCAAGGTCTCTAACCATTGGTGACTTTCGTCTCGCGGACCCCAACCAGGTAGCCTACATCTACCCATCGATACAGTCTCCTGAATTGAGAATGAATAATAAGGTCATCCCTTTCCGAGATAGTTTTATTTGCAGTCAGATTCCTAATACCGGTTTCCTCGATAAGTGTAAAAACTGCCTATCGCCGTTGCTTTTTCCATCCCACCCGCTTTCTCTATTCACCAGTGTTCGCGATCGTTGCATAGGCTTTTTATCATCCTGACTCCACTCCTCATCAAACTCAGAGCCAGACGGAATGAGTTTCCGAGAATCTGTCAGTTCAATAGATGCTACTGGTCTCCACTGCTTTTCCCTAACCTTATGGTTTACCTTACTGGCAGACCGCTGCTGTTTCCACACCTTTTCGGGTATCATTCCAAGCTGCCTCCGGATGGGAATCACTTATATGGTCGCCTAAGTGCTTATCTAGTTGTTCCTGAAATATATTCTTAGCTTTGTTATCATTAAGTAGAATCAGGAGAGATTTCCTTGCAGCGTCTTCCCTGCGTTCAGTAAGTCATAAACAATTACACCCTCGCAGTAGAGCACGATCTGAATCTAAACAAGTACTCCAGAATGAGTGGCAGTCTCCAATAGAGCATATCCACCGATGGCTTATAAAGATGTGGTCTAGTTGGGTCGGCTTTGGGAGTCAATATGTCAAAAGATGTTTAAGGTTAGTGTTTGCTAGAAATAGGCGATGATATGAGCATAGCTGCAACAGACGGTCACCATCATCTGTTCGATCAGCCGTGACACCATAAGATCCACACCGGTGTCTTTCTTCTCCATATAGTCTACCTACTTGAGCATTGAGGTCACCAGACACTACTACTGCATCAATGTCCAACGTTTTGGAGGAGGTCTGAAAGCTTTCTGTGAAACTCGCCTTTCACCTTGTGTGAACTGCAGTTACTGGGAGCGTACGTAGATACGACGAAGAGGCGACGGTAAGTTTCTCTATCGTTCCGAGTCCATACTGTCCCGTTTAGTTGGACAGCGCACAAGCAGTCTAGGTTTGCTAGATTTACCCTAGAACTCAATGCTGTAACCTAACTCAGCGGCACGAGGTTACAAAGGAACGGAAGATGAGCTGGTCGCGGAGATAACAGAGATGTTAGGGGGTTTAAAAAGGAGTTGACTATGACCGATTAAGTCTCATATGCTGTGATGGGTAGGAGGGCAAATACTGCGATCATTGTGGGAGGGTTCTTCTTGAGGTTCCTGAAAAGAAAGCTGCGTTATCGTTGGTCTGAGTGATCAACTAGCGTGACCGCAGAGCCCAAGGGAAAACTGCTTGAGGCCGGTCGCACACGTCCTTTATGTGGAAAGCTCTCAAGTGTTAACTCCACTCTTCAAATCGCCTTACCACCTGAGGCGGAAATCCGTGAGGTAAGGTGAAGCGTGACAATTTTAGGGTCGAACTTTTCTAATTCCTTCCTTCCTTATGAGAAGGCATCATCACTGGAGATTTTGGTTGTCCAAGGGAAACACCTTACTGCTGTCACATCTCTCTACAGTCAGCAGTACGACTTTGCCCTCAGACCTTGAGTAGTTGCTTTTAGTCTCATCGCTCGCCAATCGACCTACCTGGCATGGTAGAAACTACAGGAATATATGTTCTAGGCAAAATAGCTCGGTTGGGTCGTCAAGATAAGTATACCCGACAACCTCGTCAAGGTGACAGCTACGGTCGGGATACTACTATGGGATTTGAAATGACAACTGCATGTCGGTGCTAATTTGGTATGGCAACATAAACTGATGTACGTATTTACGAAGATCTACGTTGTAACTCATTGACTGACTGTTTTTCAATACGAAAGGGAAAGATTATAAGCCCGTTTCGTCATGCGCTCGTCGCAAGATATAACGTTATGGATGTCTGGTATTGCCTGACAGTTCAAATGCAGCTATAATTTACGGGCAGTAAAAGTAAAGTGATTAACTGCTGAAGAAGTAAAGACACATCAAGTTAACGATATAGTATGTCATTTTGTTCCTATCTTTGATTTCAACTACAAACTTCATCGACTGCAGATCGCCTGTGATTGTGTTGTTTATCTAACCCTTTATTCCGGTTCCTCATATTTGGTTATGAATACTGTATCTGGTATCACATGATCCCAGTCTACGTAGCATATCGATCGAGTATCCAGTCTAGTGGCAGTATAGTCTCAGCTACCGGTCGTTTCTTAGTAGTGCAAAGTGAGAAACAGAAATTTTTTCTTCTGTTAAGCTCATGAACATTTACTTTGCTTGAAGCACAATTATTAAACAAAATTGACTCCCCTAATCCTATGCTGTTCAGAGGTGTGTCAACCTAGGCCAATGTAATTTGTGACTTCCGACCGACTACTATGTAGAAGATAGTTCTCAGTTTTCGTTATCTTATTATTATAAAACATATTCAAAGCAATAACAGCAAGTGTTACCAGCTCTTAGAAATATTACCTGTACTTTGCTCAGGTTTTAATAACTTGTAAATGCATGGTAAAAATAGATGACTATTATAAAAGTGCTAAACACAAGTAAGAATATTTATCTTATGTAGAAAACCATAGAAGACGAAAACTTTTATTAGAATAAACGAAAAGCTCGTTTATACATTATATTAAAAATAATTCCATTAGAAAAACCACTCCCCTCCTTCAGGCAAGAAACATTTTGTTGCAAGGAAAGTGTGCGGTAATTATTAGCATACATTATTCCATTAGGAGTAAACGAAAACAGAATTTAATGATCAAAAAAAAAATTAAGTCATGGAATTTAGTGAAGCATAAATATCACATGTGTAGTGAATGAAGTACAATCACTACGAAAAGTATTTCCCAAAAAAGGTATTTGTAGCATATATACATTGATACGATGTCGAGCGATTGGCTAATCAAAACAAAGCAAGTCTGTAACAGCTTCCTGTTTATTAGATTTGCTGTCGCCTATATGGGGACTCCAAGTAGATAGCGAATCCCAATTGTTTATATCTAACTCGCCATCAACAGATTGATTCTCAGAATATCGGAGTTGAGGATTTAATCCTGTTAAGTCTAATAATTTGACATCATCAGCTAATTGGTTATATTTGTTGCTGACAGATTTTTCTTCAATCGACTCAGTGTTGATTGCCTCCTCGTCAATATCTTCACCTCCATCATCGCCCGTATTAAAGATACCTAAGTTGTATGCAAATGCGTCTCTTGTCAAATCCACTTCAAGTGGGAAAATTTTGATTTGCTTCATGACACCGTAACATTGATCATGGTAGGTGGCCATAGCATCGATGAAACGTTGTAACTCAAACACAATATCTTGTACTAGAGAATTGGAAAAGCCAAACATTGACTACGGTTGGTTTCAAACAAATATCAGGAATATATATATATATATATATATATATATATATATATATATATATATAAATGTATAAACCAACCTTCCATGTGTAGTCATATAGAATAATTATGGAAAACTTTGAATATTATAGTTCTAAGGGTGCAAAGACACTGTATAAAAAGTGATCGTTGTCCAGAAAAGGAAAATACCTCATCACAGTAGCGGCATTTGACCAGACACCAAATTATGGAGATGCGAGAATGATGCCGCCTATAGTCACTTGCTAAAGTTCTTAAAAGCAGACATCTCCATCAAAAAAACAATGGATTCTACCATACAGAAAACTATCTAGTTACCGTAAGAGCAGTATATCCTACACTTTATACAAAATATTAATGAAAGCTGTAATTTTCGACTACGAAAATATTGAGCGGGTCTAATACAAAGGAAAAATAACCTGACGTTGATAAAACTGTATCAGACTAACATGAAACAGAAAATCATGAACACTGTATTTTGTAACTATGTGGATGAAAATGGAGAATACTATATTAACCAGAACTGGGAAGTTGAATTACATGTTTTGTGCCCCTAATTACAATCTGAAGAAGCGAGTACTTGATAATGCTAACTTTAATATATTATTGTTGTAATCACACAGATTGATTAGTCATGTATAAATTATGAGGGGAATTATAAACTAACATGATACAATTTTATCTGCTAGACTATGTTAATGATTTGCTGATCTGACCAAATAACTGATAGCGGAATGTTCTACAATTAACTCCAAAAATTGTCATAGTAACTAAGGATTTTGTAAGGCCGATGAAACACTCAATTTGCATATGACTGGCACGGGTTAATAGATTAAAGACTAAGTACGACGGTATATATTCGAAAGCAGTAGGTGAGTTTTCAAAGTATGGTAGCTGTGGATGGTGTAATCCCTTTGTTAAATACGAAATTACATACTCCGCGATTCCAATCTCAGTATATGCACTGAAAAGACTATCCGGTTATATATATATATATATATATATATATATATATATATATATATATATATATATATAATATGGAGTAGTGGCTTTTAAATGTTAATTCAACCACCTGGAAGTTACTTATGCTATCGATTAAATGTCTCCATACTACAAGTATCTGGATTTTAGTAAATCCAAGAAATGGTATGCATGCTAAATCATTACTAAGATTTACTCGAATTATTATCAGAGGTTCGAATGATTAAGAAGAAAGAATAAATACATTGCTTACCGTGTTTATTATCTAATAATTCTAATTTCACTAAAACATCATTGCGCATCTTAGCAAACCGTGTACGTGCATCCTGTCGACATCTTAAAACGAGTCTATATTCATAATTTCCTGTTTCCACACGATACAGTGGTTCTTGAACCATAGCAAAACCGTACTCTTCATCATCCATTTCTTTTACTTTAAGGCAATAGGACTAGTGAAACAAAAGGAAATGAAATTGAAAAATACCAACAATGTGTCAATCATGAAAAAATATACAGCGTCAAAAACCTATTGGTCATCCAAGAATAAGAAGATAGGTTTTTTTTTGTGATTTTCATACAAAATTTTCAATTGACTTTTTTTTACTTCAAATGAAAACATCTTGCTTTGGAGACAGAATGCCTTATTTTAAAGAGGGTTATTTGAAAGTGCATTCAATGAAAATATTGACTGAAGGTATAATACATTCAGTCTAGAGGAAAGCCTTTTCAAAATCTGAATTCATTTGTGAAGTACAGACTTGTATCGTCAGTTATTTAAAAGCATTCTTTGTGAGGATTAATGAGGCTACTAAGATGCGGAAATTACAGCAGATCGAGAGGTGTATAATTTAGAATACATTGGTTGAAAGTCGAATACTTTAACAACTACGGTACTACTCCAACTGAATTATATCTCATTTTAGCATTTTGGATTACGGAAGAATGGAAACACCATATGGCTAGAGGTTATCTTAATTTACTTTCTGACCACTTAAGGTTGTCTATCATTGAGTTGATACACAATGGGACTTCAAACCCATACGTTTTGTAGCGTGGACGTTGCGTTTTCATCAACTGAAGTTAAATATAATAGTTTACTATCACCAAATATCATTTAGTAAAGTGTCTTAACTCGCACACTCAAAAAATGAAAGATTTCCACTCGAAATTGTAAACAGTAAGCTTCAATGAACGTTTGAATATGAACTAAGACCATGAGTGAAAATCCTGAGTGCATACTATACCTTAAAATAAGTGATAATTTAGTAACAAGTTGAACCCAAGTCCGACTTTTAGTGTTATATAAGTTGTGTGATTGTCGCACTGAGACCAGCTTGCCGACTGCTTCCAACACTTATTCAGTCTTTGCTTGAAACTTGTTTTAGCGATTTTTAGGAAAAAGCTAAACCATTTGAGGAAATTAATGAGAATTACCCCAAAGTAAAGCATAAATTACGTTGTTCGAGGATGTTATGAGAGAAAATATGCTATAAAAAATATAATTAGAGTATGTTACACCTGATGCAACAATAAATCTCTTCCATTTACTTCATAACACAAAGATAAGCCATTAGTTCCTTGAATTATGATAAATACAGGTATACACAACAATTGATGTAGGTTGTACAAGAGGATTTCTCTAACAGAATAAACTGTTAAGAACAATGAGGCTTCTAACCATAACTAGGTTTATTCAGCTCTTTATTTACAGAGCGGCTGGACGAACTAATAAATTTCAGTCCCCATGTTTATTAGCTGTAAGTAAAATAAGAAAAATAATGTATTTATCCAACCGATACTGACACCGAATTCAAAACAGAAACCAGATGACGGTAGTGTGTTTAGGTGAAGAGGTCACACGATCCTACATTCAACAATGGAAAAAATACAGGAGTAGGACTTCTCAAACTGATTGTCATATATTTAGTATAAAAGAAGACAGAACGGGTAACAGATCGCATACCAAATATTCAAATTTGACATCTAAATATTTTCTGATTGTTAACTTTGTATCAGGAACCGCTTTACGCAGAAATGTGTTCAAATCTATGATCATCTGTGAAGAATAAAAAGAGTAGAAAACAAATCACTACAAAAATGAAGATGACCACAAAATCAAATGTGTTATGAAATGTTGTGGACGATGGTTTCTAAATATGAATAATATACAGGCATCTTGAAAAAAACATAAACCAGTGTTATCCTTCGGTATAAGACCACATTCCTCACTTGTACAGAAGTTTATAGCTACAGATCGTCAATCTTGCACACAACCATTTATTTATCGGTTCAGAAACTATCAAAAATTTTCAAATTCCTTAAGCAAGGTGTGCTTTCCATAACACTGAACAATGTACCTCGGTTGCAAATGCATTACATCTCCCTTCGGTCTCTGAAACAATTAAATTACAGGAAAGCAACTATACCCTATGGCAGTATACCCGACCGAAGCTGCTACCTTGACGTGGTGGTCGGGCTTGCATATCGTGATGACCCAACCGAGTTATATTGGCTGGGACATATGTTCCTGAAGGTTCTACCATGCCAGGCAGGTCGACTGCAGAACGATGAGACTAAAAGCAACTACTCAAGGTCTGAGGGCGAAGTCGTGCTGCTGACTGCAGAGGGCTGGGACAGCAGTACGGTGTTTCCCTCGGACAACCAAAATCTCCAGTGATGATGCCTTCTCATAAGGAAGGAACGGGTTAGAAAAGGTCGGCCCTAAAAATGTCACACCTCACCCTACCTCACGGAATTCCGTCTTTGTCGGTATGGGTGCCCACTAAGGGCTTTTAAGAGCGGAGATAATACTCAAAAATCCCTTCATAAAAAGGCAGTGCGTGACCGGTCTCAAGCAGTTGTCCCTTGGGCTCTCCGGTCACGCTACCAGGTCGTTAGGACCAACGCTAATCTACCTTCCTTTTCAGGTTCCTCAATAAACAACCTTCCACGGTGTGGGCAGCCGGGAAGTGATAACCGCCCTCATACCCGTAACAGCACACGAGACCAAATTGGTCAAAATTAAATCCTTCCTACACCCCCTAATACCTCTCTTATCTCCACGACTAACTCCTCTCACATTTATTTATCACAGTGCACAGCTAATGCAAACGATGCGAGTTCGCGAAACGTCGTTCCTGGTCTCTTTAAACCCCGTTCTAAACTACATGTTGGAGCATTTAATGTACGGACATTGTGTCAAATAGGGCAACAGGCATCATTAGCTAGGACTTTAGAATCTTGTGCCATCGATGTGTGCTGCATCTCGGAAACGCGCATACAGGGTCCGAGTAGCATCATTCACTTGACCTCACCATGTCAAGATAAAGAAGCAACTTGATTTACCCATCGTGTATCCGGTTGCCCTGATGCTGCTTCCCGGGGTCTCGCTGGTGTAGGTATAGCATTGAGTCCTAGGGCAGAACTATCTCTCCTTGACTGTATCCCAGTAGATAGTTGCTTGTGCGCCGTCCGACTAAACGGGAAAGTAAGGATTCGAAAGGATAGGGACACTCGTCGTTGCCTCTTCGTCATATCAGCCTACGCACCCACTGACTGCAGTTCAGACGATGTAAAAGATGAGTTTTACAGAAAGCTTTCGGACCTCCTTCAAAAAGTTAAGCACTCCGATATAGTTATAATGGCTGGTGACTTCAATGCTCAAGTAAGTAGACTAAGTGAAAATGAAAGACACCTAAGGTGGATTTTATGGTGTCGCGGCTCAAAGAACAGAAAATGGCGACCGTCTGTTGCAACTGTGCTCAGATAACCAACTATTTCTGGCAAACACTAATTTTAAGCATAAGGAGAAACGTCTTTTGACCTGGCGACCCTTAAGGTCGTCTCAACGTCGGACGCAACTAGATCATATCGCCATCAGCCACCACTGGAGGGGTTCGATAGAGGACTACCGCTCGTTCTGGGGCACATGTTTAGATTCAGCGCGTATTTGTATTGAGGCTTACTGGACGTAGGAAAGACACCGTAAGGAAGCCTCTTAGGGCTTTACTTGATGATAATCAAGCTAAGAAAATATTTCAGGAGGAACTAGAAAAACAGTTAGGCGACCATGCAAGTGATTCCCATCCGGAGGCAGGTTGGAATGATATCAAGAAGGCTGTGGAAACAGCAGTGATATCTCCTAGCAAGATAAACCATAAGGCTAGGATGAAGCCGTGGATATCAGTCGCATCCACCGAACTGATGGATGCTCGAAAACGCATTCCACCTGACTCTGAACATGATGAAGAGCGTAGTCAGCTTAGGCGCAGACTTATAAAACGCCTACGTAACGACCGCGAACATTGGTGGGTGGCGAAAGCAAAAGCGATGGAAAAGACAGCGGCGATAAGCAACACTAGACAACTTTTCCGACCCGAATGTGAGTGAGACTATCTCAGAAAAGAATGGTCTTATTATCCATTCTCAATCCAGGAGACTGGACCGATGGGCAGAACACTTTAGGGATCAGTTCAAGTGGCCTCGAGCCACACTTTGGTTGCCCACGATCTCCAGTCATCCTGAATGGCAAATCGATTTAAGTCCTCCCAGTCTACATGAAGTTGAGACAAAAGTCCTCTTGTGACAATCACAGGGGAATAAGCCTAACTACTATAGTTTCTAAATTGTTAGCCTCCATTATACTTAGACGTCTAACTAGAGTTCTTGAAGAGCAACCTGGACGTGGTTGTATAGACCACATTTTCACATTACGACAGGTCCTGGAACGCAGACACACATTTAGACGTCCGAAAAAAGTCGTGTTCCTGGACCTAAAAGCGGCATTCTACTCAGTGGATCGTGAGGTTCTGTGGCAGCGTCTGTCATTGAAAGGTGTACCAAACAAGTACATTAACCTTATACAAGCACTCTACACGAACACTACTGGTCGGGTGAGAGCATATGGTGAACTGTCATCGGAATTCTCTACATCAAGTGGTGTCCGTCAGGGCTGTCCACTCTCTCCATTCTTGTTTAACTTTGTCGTAGACATCCTCTTAGAGTTAACATTAGGCTCGTCAGATTTTTCAGGGTTTGACCTTCTACCAGGAAATTCGCTTACTGATCTAGAATATGCCGATGACATAGTTCTATTCGGTGAAGACGCTGACAAAATGCAGTCTTCTGACTACCATAAGCAACAATGCGAGCATGTACGAAATGCGGTTTTCCCCCTCGAAATGCAAAATGTTGCTTCAAGACTGGGTTGCATAGGCACCTGAACTAGTGATAGGGAGTGAAGTAGTCGAGCGTGTTGATCACTTCACTTATCTTGGGAGTCTCATCAGTGCTGACGGTCTGGTGACTGACGAAATCTCAGCTCGGATACAGAAAGCTCGATTGGCTTTTGCCAACCTGCGTCACTTATGGCGTAGGCGTGATATCCGTTCGCTAACCAAAGGACGGGTGTACTGTGCAGCAGTTCGCTCCGTTCTCCTATATGGCTAAGAAACATGGCCGTTAAGAGTAGATGTTGGTAGGTTACTAGTATTCAATCATAGATGTTTAAGAAGCATTGCTCGTGTATCCTGGGACAACCGAGTAAAAAATTTTGTCGTTAGGAAACGAGTTCTAGGTAAGGATAGCAGATCAACAGATGAAGTTGTGAAACTTCATCAGTTGAGGTGGTTGGGACATGTGTTACGAATGCCAAACCACCCACTGCCTCAACGAGCTATATTTTGTGGTGTAGGAGTAGGTTTGAAGAAAGTTAGGGGCGGCCAGACAAAAACATGACAGAAATCCATGAAGCCACTTACAAGTGGACTGAGTCATGTTGGTAGATGTAGGCTACCTGGTTGGGGTTCGCGAGACGAAAGTCACCAATGGTTAGAGACCTTGAACGACATGACTCAAAATCGTTTGCAATGGCGCAAGTACATCCATTCATTGTGCTCTCTCAAATCCTAATCCTCTGGATTCGTCAGCACCTCTACTTTTTTCTTTCTAACCTTATCTCACTGAAATATACTTCTTGAATATCTTCGAACACTAGTCTTCTTCATTACCACTAATACCTCTACTATCTTTATCACTATGGGATTTGATTTTACATTTGCGTCTCTGTGTTAATGTGATATGACAACATGAACTTATGTACATACGTGCGAAGTTCCACGTTGCAACTGACTTGACATACCAATTTTAGAGATGTAGATTTAATGTAAACTGTGCCTGGAGACTATCTATGGGTTATTTTTAGTAATAAGCCCGGGGGAAGACAGGGTGTAAATCATTTCAATAGACTGAATACAAGATTGTAAATACATACACCACACAGAAGAACATTCTGCCAATATGATAATATCAAATTCTAGAGAGCTAGAAGCAAGTGGTTGCGTAATAAATACACGCTGGCGATAAGTAGGAATGAAATGAGTAAGTTCAGTCAATTAGAAAAAGGTTACTAATATCGAAAACAGTCGAAATAAAATGTAATGATGTGATTGCACAAGCAAGTATTGTGTTAAAATGTTGTCGAAGGCGTTAGGCAAATCAATAGATGAAGTATTAAGACTTCATCAGTTGAGGTGGTTGGGACACGCGTTACGTATGCTCAACCATCGAACGCCTCGACGAGCAATGTTTTGGAGTAGGTTGAAAAAAAGCTAGGGGCGGATAAACCAAGACGCGGTACAAATACATGAAGTCACTGACAAGTGGACGGAGTCATGTTGGTAGATGTGGACTACCTGGTTGAGGTCCGTGAGACGATAGTAACCGGTGGTTAGAGACCTTGGACGACATCGCTCAAAATCGTTGACAATGGCGCAGGTGCATCCACTCTTCGTGTTCTCTGAAATCCTAATCTTCTCCATTACTGCTAATACTTCTACTATCACTACCACTATGGGATTTGAACTGATAGTTGCATCTGTGCTAATGTAATATGGCAATCTGAACTTCGACGTACGTATGGATGCATCTGCTCCATTGCAAGCAATTTTGAGCCATTTCATTCAGTCTCTAACCGCCAGCTACGATTGTCTTGCAGACCCTAACCAAGCTGTCCACACCTACTAACATGAATCACTCCAGTTGTCAGTGCCTTCATGGACTTGTAACAAGTTTTAGTTTGACCACCTCTAATTTTCTTCCAGCCTACCCGTACCTCAGACGACATCGCTCTTTGAGGTAGGTGGTAGTTTGGCATTCGTAACACACGCCTTAACCACCTTAGCTGACGAAGATTCACTAGTTCATCAGCTAACTTGCCATCCTTTTTCTAACCCATGATAAACGAGCAACGCTCCTAAGGACACCTATGTATGAATACTAGTTACTATCAATATCCTCTATTCTTAGTGGCAATGTTTCAAACCCGTATAATTGGATGTAGTGAACTGCTGCGTAGTAGACTCGACCTTCAGTTAGCAGACAGATATCTTGCCTACGCGATAAGTGACGCAAGTTGGCAAAAGCCATTTGAGCCTCCTGTATGTGTGTCGCGATTACGTTACATACGAGGCCTGATGAGACTCTCAAGATAAGTGAAGCGCCCGACATGCTCAACTACTTCACTCCCTATTACTAGTCCAGGTGCCCAGACAAGCTAATCCTGAAGCAACAGTTTTCATTTTGAGGGGTAGAATCGCATCTCAAACATGCTTGCATTGTGGCTTAAGTCTGTGAGGACACTGCATTTTGTCAGAGTCTTCAAGTGGAACTATTCTAGTTCAACCAGTTATTTTCTTGATAGAGGGTCAACTCCTAAGAAGTCAGGTGATGAAGGTGTCGTTTCTAAAAGCATACGAATGACAGTAAAACAAAAACTGAGAAAGTGAACAACCCTGACGAATACCACTTGAAGTAATCAATTCCGATGAAAGCTCGCCAAGAGCTCTGAATTTGGTAGTGTTCAAGTGGACAGCCAGTACAAAGTAAATGTACTTTGATACCCCTTTCAAAGACAGTCTCTGTTACAGTACCTCACAATCAACGGAGTCAAATGGCGCCCTCAGGCTGAGAAATACAACTAATATCGGACGTCAACAAAGTATCTTTTCTTCGTGTACTGAAGTGTAGTTGAACTGCTGCCTGAGGTTTTTCTGCCTATAGATTCAATCTTCTGGATCCAGAATGAAAAATAGTAGTTTCGAGTGTGATTTCAGTAGACCAGGAACAACGTTTCGTGTACTCGAGTCGTTAACACCTAGCGGCGTTAGGTGATAAAGGAATAAAAGAAGGGTTGGTCGTGAAGATTAGCGAGTTAATAGGAGGTGTAGAAACGATTTGATTGTGACCGATTCGGCCTCATGTGCTGTTACGGGTATGAGTGTAGCTGTCACTTCTCGGCTGCCCACACTGTGGGAAGGTATTTCTTTAGGTGCCTGACTGTACAGCCTAAGTAACAATTACTTGAGGCCGGTTGCGCACTACCTTTTTATGAAAATCTCTAATGTTGTTAGTTCCGCTCTTCAAATTACCTTACCACCTGAGACGGAAATCCGTGAGGTAAGGTGAGGTGTGACATTTTTAGTGTCGAACTGATAGTTGCATCTGTGCTAATGTAATATGGCAATCTGAACTTCGACGTACGTATGTACAAAGTTCTAAGTTGTAACTGGCTGACTGACTGAGTCTATTATGCTGTTAATTATGTTTTTTTGACATCCTAGCTTATCAAATGATAGAAATTGTCGGTTCGGCAAACTAATTAGTGTAACGCAAATCAGTCTGAAGTGTAATGCGAAACATCTATTTAGTGACCTACTTACATCTATTTCGAGACAGCTGACTGCAGTACCTGATTTTCTTAACTTCTGCAAGTGGCGCTTTCATCGTCATTAGTTGAAATTCAGATGATGAAACTACAAATATTTATAGCCGTTTTCTTGATGCAAGAAGTGCATTTAATAATCTGCTCAAGAATTAAAGAAATGATCTATTATCTACGTTGTAACTGATTGACTACTTTAACCTTCCCAATTCTTGTCATTTGTATGTGACCCTGAGCGTGTGTCTATATACATGTACTCCAGTAGTTAGTTCGGAGTCCGTTTTTATGAGACCGACTAAAACATTTCGAAAGTTTGAATAGTCAACATCAACTACGCGTGTGCAGGCAGAGAAATCCTGAGACGTTAATAATGAGAAGAGATGTAAGAAAGCAACGTTTTTGGTGAGGTTGGGTTCCTTGAAATGGGAGGTTGAATCGTGAGGCTCTTACTGTGTTTCCAGATATCACTAGCAGAAATTTGAGACGGGAGTCAGCTAGTAGAATTTCGTTCCATATGATCAACAGATTTTGTTATTAAATCTAATTGATTATTTTCAACACCTCTGTCATTGTCTGGATATTTAATTTGATTATCTTCCCCCATGACTCTTGAGAAAAATTGATCTGAGAACACCACTGATAAGTTAGGACTAGAAATAGAAAACAATGGCCAGTCAATCATACTTTTTCAATTTAGATATCCATAATTTTTTTATCAGAACGTTATTGAGCAGCATCAAGTCTATAATGTGAGCAGTATTAGTTAACAATAGGAAATATTAAGCTTTAATGATAAAGTATTTCTCATTAAATTAGACGACATACTGGCTTAATCTTTTTCAACATTTCAATTGAAAAACGCTCCATGCCTCGGTGAATAGTACCAAACTGAGTAAATGCTTCGCTTGTACATACCATAGGCTCTTTAACACCAATTTCTGAAAAGATGTCACCTAATACTTAACAAATAAAATAAAATGCTAGTTGAATAAATATACACGATAGATTTTTTAAGGGAGTAGTATTATTGATATGCTCGGATAAATATACTGTCATACGTAAATTTACCAGTAAACGTGTTGTTTTAAAATACTGAACAAAACTACAAGTACAGAGATATTCTTTTTATTCCAACCACGGTCAAGTAATCCAAGAAGACTAAATTGACCAAATGGCTAAAACCGATAAAATCGAATGCATATTTCGAAAACGAAAAGCATATAAATACCTATACACTGAGGCAATATCAAGTCACGTTTCAAGTTCACACGAAGGCGAGTGCCGGAAGTCATGGAGACTGATATCTCCCCTGACTGTCTCGGTATGTTAAGCAAACTATTATATTCAGTGATATGGTCAGGAAGGGGATATAGGTACAGTTCACTCTCCATACGTCAAGAAAATTTAATGCTTAAGGACAAATCGAATACCACACTTATTAATTCATGATGTTAAATTAACACCTGATAATAAAGTGAAGCAATAACACTAGCATATTTAATATAGGAGTTTTTTTCTTACAATTATTCGTCCAGAAAGGTTTCGAAAGTCACTTGTGAAGAAGCTCAAATACCTTCAGTGACCTTACTGTTGACTTTTAAAAATGGAAATATACGAATAGTTGCCACAACTCAATGATATTATCAGTCTGCTACATTGTAAAGAACTGACTAAAACGGCTAAGGAGAAGATAAAATTATGATATAGAGAACTGTCATCAAAAATCATCGAACTCTAGTTGTATTTTCCAGGGCTGTCCACTTTTACTATGTGCCTTTGACCGTGTCTTATATATCATTTTATAGATGAAATTCCCATCGTCTGACCTTAAGGATTAACTTTCAACAAGGAGGTTCACTTGTTGACTTGGAATACGGAGACGCTATATTCCGGTTCGGCGAAAATGGTGTTCACCCAACTTACATCATTTGTGGCATAGGCAAATTATCTGTATAACAGGTAACTTTGTTCGCCTTCATAAGTGTGACATATGCTCTTTAAAAACAAATGATATTCGCAGTTTGCTGATATAGGTTCGTAAGTCACCCTGCTACTAGTGCATTCTGGTACGCCCCTTTCCATTTACTTAATTGATCATGTTTTCGCCCTTTCCTCTATCTGTTCACAATTTTATTTTCTTATTTATGTGGTGCACATTTATCTTGATTCTACTTTGTGCTGATAGTTGTTTGAATAATAATGATAATGATAATAATAATAAAATTAAAATAATAATAATGCGAGATTTTATAAATTATATATATATATATATATATATATATATGACTGGTAAATTATTCATATGCCTATTTATTTTCTTACTTTGCTGTTCGCTAGCAGGATCGTTTAAATCATGTTTGAAATAAATGATATCCAGAACTTTGTTGAGATTTCTGAACACCATATGCTGCTGGCGATTGTCGTAATAACGGTAATCTGATTAACTGGAAGATATAAGTCTGCTACTCCGAATCTGTTCAACTACTTACACAAGTCGGAATTATTCTGTTTAATCCTTGACAAAAAGCGGTATTAAAATGCAACCTATCATTTAAATTAACATTGCGTTATTTAGATAAACCAGGAATCTGGCTTGTGTATACACTGCATAATTATCGATACATCATCGTTTCTGTAAGTCTCAAAAGACGACCAAGAATCATTTGTTAAGTCATTAATTAACACTCTGTCATACCTTCAAAAACCTCACCCATTGTTACTGAACTATGGAGAGTGGGAATATTTTCAGAAGGTAATATCACTGGCATCTAAACGAATACCTCATTACTATCGAACTAGAACTTGAATCAAGATTGAAAATGACATTATGTAACTTAGTTCAAATCTCAATAGTTAGTGTAGTACATAAATAAAAAAACCCAAATGCTCTTGTTCGGTCGAGAGTTAGAAGAGCTTGTTCCCCCTCTCAAAATGCTTTTAAATGGCCACGCGTCAGGGAAACCTTAACCACTGACTTCTCACGGTAGTGGTGGCATTTATGAAAGTGAGAGGACACAAAGTAAATGTCTGGTACTTTAACTGAGCTGATGAAGGCGAAGGATGAACCTAGAGAAGTTGAGAAATCCTAATTTCAAACCAATGGTGTATATGGGCTCCAGGATCCTGAGGAAACAATTTGTTAGTCACCGACCACTACTGGACTTCATCTCCTAACGCTGCTCCACTGCCTTGTGGATTTGGTCTGTAATGTGAACCAAAGGCTCAGGGATTATCCTCTTAAGAAAACCATCTGCTCTGATTTGGGAACGCGGGAAGTATCCCAGCCCACAAACAAACTAAATGGTGACAAGAACCACGAAAATTATTCTTTCTTTATGCTTCATTTCATACAACAGCTTACAAATTGTAGATATTTCGTCCTATCTAAACGATCTTAATCCACTTACTTGTCGAAAATCTAACGTTACCATCAAATATGAATTCTGTATCAGCCTTTCTGAAACCACGTATGACATTTGAAATGGTCCGCACACTAACACAGATAGGGTTGGCTCCGCCTTAAAAAGCCTAAACATCGATGTTTGTTCTTTATCCGAGACCCGTACACAAGAATAGTGAAGTACTACAAATTTGCTCTCCATCTGTTGCTCTAAAAAGATGGTTTTGTGTGCATCTATCCAGGGACTTTGTAGCATCTTCTGATTGTACTGTCGTTGGCGTCGTTTTAAGCGCTACAACTGAATTACTGCTAGTCGAATGGATCATCATTGATAGTCGATTATGTGCTGTCCGATTAGGAGTGAGAAACTTGAATGGACAAATCGGTTGTCTAGACACAGAGGAGGGTCGCCTGGAAGAATAATGGCGTTTACTTCCATAAATTAATTGCTATTCAATGTTTTTTATTATATGGGCCGTTTCTCTATCTGTTCACAACTTCACTTTTATCGTATGGTGTATATACATTTGGATGCTCCTTTGTGTCAATCTTTGTTTTAAATGAAATGATTACATCAACACAGCAGAAATTGATCGAGCATAAACCTCAGTATGTCAGTCAGTTACAAGGAAGTTTGAACCTGAGACATTTGTACATGTAGGGTATTATGTTTCGATGCTTGATCATATAGTTGGATTTTGAATGGTTAGAGCATATATACAGCATTGCATAAAATGTATACAACTTGTTAATTTACATACTTAACTCAATCACAATTTAGCAATACACTCTACAGAGTACCAGATTTGCAAAAACAAACAAGCTAAGTGCAGCTGGGTATCGCTGTCATAAAACATTTTATTTATCAAAACAGCTTACCAGCATAGATACGGGAAAGTTCGTAGATTGCACGTAACAAATTTTTTGCATGATTTACCAAACCCGAAAATGCATTTGATGTCTTATTGAGTTCCTCTAACTTTTTAACCATGCCATCTACAAATTATGAGTTTCGTTACGTAAAAAGATCATTTGACAAACCATTTACAAGAATAGCTCGGCTTAGACCCAAAGCATCAGCTGTACTAGATTCCATTGTTTCAACAATACGATGTTTCACTTTTTTTAATACTGTAATAACATGGTAAATATAGAAAGTAATGATTACTTAAATCTAGTGTTTTTCCTTGTTTTGGGTCCGCATGAAGTTTGTTATAATTAATTCTTACTTCATCCTATAATGCAAAGAGAATGCAAGTATATGTAAACCTAGAAAAGTACTTATAAAATTCTGTCCGGAGCTTACAGTATGGTATATCATTATGACACACCACCATACAAGGTAAACAGAAAGCTTTATAGCATAGATAATTTCTTTGATTCTTGAGCAGATTATTAAATGCACTTCTTGCATCAAGAAAACGGCTATAAATATTTGTAGTTTCATCATCTGAATTTCAACTAATGACGATGAAAGCGCCACTTGCAGAAGTTAAGAAAATCAGGTACTGCAGTCAGCTGTCTCGAAATAGATGTAAGTAGGTCACTAAATAGATGTTTCGCATTACACTTCAGACTGATTTGCGTTACACTAATTAGTTTGCCGAACCGACAATTTCTATCATTTGATAAGCTAGGATGTCAGTCAGTCAGCCAGTTACAACTTAGAACTTTGTACATACGTACGTCGAAGTTCAGATTGCCATATTACATTAGCACAGAGATGCAACTGTCAGTTCGACACTAAAAATGTCACACCTCACCTTACCTCACGGATTCCCGTCTCAGGTGGTAAGGTAATTTGAAGAGCGGAACTAACAACATTAGAGATTTTCATAAAAAGGTAGTGCGCAATCGGCCTCAAGTAATTGTCCCTTAGGCTGCAGTCAGGCACCTAAAGAAATACCTTCCCACAGTGTTGGCAGCCGATAAGTGACAGCTACACTCATACCCGTAACAGCACATGAGGCCGAATCGGTCACAATCAAATCGTTTCTACACCTCCTATTAACTCGCTAATCTTCACGACCAACCCTTCTTTTATCACCTAACGCCGCTAGGTGCTAACGACTCGAGTACACGAAACGTTGTTCCTGGTCTACTGAAATCACACTCGAAACTACTATTTTTCATTCTGGATCCAGAAGATTGAATCTATAGGCAGAAAACCTCAGGCAGCAGTTCAACTACACTTCAGTACACGAAGAAAAGATACGTAGTTGACGTCCGATATTAGTTGTATTTCTCAGCCTGAGGGCGCCATTTGACTCCGTTGCTTGTGAGGTACTGTAACAGAGACTGTCTTTGAAAGGTGTATCAAAGTACATTTACTTTGTACTGGCTGTCCACTTGAACACTACCAAATTCAGAGCTCTTGGCGAGCTTTCATCGGAATTGATTACTTCAAGTGGTATTCGTCAGGGTTGTTCACTTTCTCAGTTTTTGTTTTACTGTCATTTGTATGCTTTTAGGAACGACACCTTCATCACCTGACTTCTTAGGAGTTGACCGTCTATCAAGAGAATAACTGGTTGAACTAGAATAGTTCCACTTGAAGACTCTGACAAAATGCAGTGTCCTGACAGACTTAAGCCACAATGCAAGCATGTTTGAGATGCGATTCTACCCCTCGAAATGAAAACTGTTGCTTCAGGATTAGCTTGTCTGGGCACCTGGACTAGTAATAGGGAGTGAAGTAGTTGAGCATGTCGGGCGCTTCACTTATCTTGAGAGTCTCATCAGGCCTCGTATGTAACGTAATCGCGACACACATACAGGAGGCTCAAATGGCTTTTGCCAACTTGCGTCACTTATCGCGTAGGCAAGATATCTGTCTGCTAACTGAAGGTCGAGTCTACTACGCAGCAGTTCACTACATCCAATTATACGGGTTTGAAACATTGCCACTAAGAATAGAGGATATTGATAGTAACTAGTATTCATACATAGGTGTCTTAGAAGCGTTGCTCGTTTATCATGGGTTAGAAAAAGGATGGCAAGTTAACTGATGAACTAGTGAATCTTCGTCAGCTAAGGTGGTTAAGGCGTGTGTTACGAATGCCAAACTACCACCTACCTCAAAGAGCGATGTCGTCTGAGGTACGGGTAGGCTGGAAGAAAATTAGAGGTGGTCAAACTAAAACTTGTTACAAGTCCATGAAGGCACTGACAACTGGAGTGATGCATGTTAGTAGGTGTGGACAGCTTGGTTAGGGTCTGCAAGACAATCGTAGCTGGCGGTTAGAGACTGAATGACATGGCTCAAAATTGCTTGCAATGGTGCAGATGCATCTATTCTTTGTCTTCTTATATGACCTCATGCACTGAATACCTTTTCCTTACTTTTTAAAAAATTTATTTCTCTCCACGAAGCAGTCTATGGTTAAGCATACGTAATACATGTCTTAACCACCTCAACTGATGGAGTTTTACTATTTCATCCATTGATCTGCCATCCATACCTATTACTCGTCTCCTAACGACAGCATAGCTTCATCGGCTGTCCCACGATACACGAGCAATGCTTCGGAGACACCTATGATCGAAGACAAGCAATTTACGAATGTCCTCTTCTCTCACAGGCCATGCTTCGTATACGTATAGTAGGACGGAGCGAACTGCTGCGCTCGCCTACGGCATAAGTGACGCAAGTTGGCGAAAGCCAATCGAGCTTTCTGTATACATGCTGAGATTTTGTCTGTGACCAGGCCATCGGTACCGATGAGACTCCTGAGATAAGTGAAGTGATCTACACGCACAACTGCTTCACTCCGTGACCGCAGAGCCTAAAGGACAACTGCTTAAGGCTGGTCACATGCGGCCTGTTTATGAGTTTTTAAAGTGTTGGCTCCGCTCTTGTTTAAAAGGCCTTACCACCGGAGGCGGAAATCTGTGAGGTAAGGTGAGGTGTGACATTTTTAGGGTCGATCTTTTCTAATCCTCTCCTTCCTTGTGAGAAGGCAGCATCGCTGCAGATTTTGATTGTCCCAGGGAAACACCTTACTGCTGTCACATCTCTCTTTAGCCAGCAGTATGACTTTAACCCTCTAGCTTTGAGTTGCTGTTTTGAGTTTCATCGTTCTCCAATCGACCTACCTAGCGTGGTAGGACATACAGGAACACATGTTCCAGCCAATATAGATCCGTTGGCTCACCACTATAGACAGGCCCAACCACCACGTCAAGGTAGCAGCTAAGGACGGAGAGGTAAGCGAAAAGTAGAAAATTAGAGTTGGTCAAACAAAACCATGATACAAGTCCATGAGGTCACTGACAACTGGAGTAACTCATGATAGTAGGTGTAGACTATTCGGGTTGGGGTCCGCGAGACAATAGTAGCTGCCAGTTAGAGACTTTGAATGACATGGCTTGAAATTGCTTGCAATGGCGCATATGCATCCATTCTTTATCTTTAACAATGATTGATTGATGGTTTAAATGTTTAAAAACACTAATCTCCATAACTCTAAATGAGAATATCGTAATATGTGCTTGACTAGATTCACGAGGAAATTCTCGGAGTTCTAGTGAGAAGACGTGACCAGTGGAGTCCAACCCTGTCGGGTGTAGGCAGTAACTAACAAGGGCAAATGGGTGATGTCGCGCAAAATTCCTAGATCAATCAGAGTTAGACATTAACAACGTTGAATGCCGGCCCGGTGGTTCAGAGGTTAGGCGTTCGCGCACAAGCCAAAGGTTCCGGGTTCGAATCCCGCGAGGTGCGCACTGCTGACGAGTCCCATACCAGGACGAAACGGCTGTCCAGTGCTTCCAGGTTTATAATGGTGGTTGACTGATTGGTGAGTTAAATGTGTGAAAACACTAATCTCCATAGCTCCAATTGAAAATATTCTCTATCTTCTTTTAAATTCTAATCTTTTGAATTCCTTACGTACTCTTTTAAGATTTATTTCACTCGGTTATACTTCTCACACCATATTTTCGATCCCTAATCTTTCCCATTATCGCCGATACTTCTACTACCTCTACTACTATGGTATTTCAACTGACAAATCCATATCTGTGCTAATGTGCTATGGCAATCTGAACTGGCGTAAATACGTGCGAAGTTCTGTTTCGTAAGTGAATGACTGATAAGCTGTCAAGTAAAAGCCTACAATGACAAAGAATGATGTCGATTTCTACAAAATGTCACCAAGGAAACTATTTTCCATTCATGAATACCAACTAGTTTTGGTTAAATTGGCTTTAGTAATTGAAGTACGAGTATATTGATGGTGATCTCACTAATGGTTTTCAGTAAGGATAAATAGCACAATATGACAGCTAGCAAACCAATAATAGGCCCAAATTGACTGATTTCGATCACTAACTACAGTCAAAGTTTCCTATCGATTCTAAACAATGCGATTTTTTAAGATCACAGAAATTGTTGGCTTTTTGACACTGCGTATACAACTTGATTTAATTCTGCTTCAGCCAAATCCAACACACGGGATTTTACGTGAGTCTTTTAACGACGTTTTAATATCAACAAGTTATTCCTACGCGATCCACAAGAATTAATTAGGAAGGTAACGATATCATGACCAACACAATTAGGTGAAATTAACAAGACTAACACCTACCTTGAAACTTTGTATAAGTCGAGCAGCCTCCACTTTAGTCTTGCCTTTTACAGATATACCATTAACACCAGTTATCTCATCCCCAGCTTGAAGACTACCATCTTCAGAGGCTGGTGTGGAGTCGAATATTTGGACAACGTAAAGGCATGGACAGTACGGGGCTCCTCCTCCAATGCTAATACCCACTAGGTTTTGTGAGTCTTTCTTTAGTTTCACACAACCACTTGTTACGGTCATACCACTAAAAAATTGAGAACAGTGAAGAGAATATGAACAGGCAAACAATTGATTTTATAGAGTGAGACATCCTGTAAAACAAATAATAGCAAAAGTTATGTAAACTCACTACCAACACGTGTACATGAATACAGCATAGTCAGTCAGTAAGTTACAATGTAGAACTTCCTACGCACATACATCAGTTCAAATTGCCATACCATGTAAGCACAGAGAAGAAATTGTCAATTCATATTCCATAATAGTTAGTTAGTTGAAGTATTAGCAGGAATCCGAGATTGGGTTTCGAAGATATTATTCAAGACGTATAATCTAATGAAGTAAACTTAAGGAAAGATAAAGGTGATGAATAATCCAGAGGATTAGGATCGGAGAGAAGCTAAAGAGTGGATGCAATTGCGCACACACGAATAGTCAGATAGGTTTATTCAATCCTTATGAACTTTGTTAAAAACAGTGATAAGATTATGAAAGAAATGGGGGAGTGGTAGACTAAATTTTATGCTTTGCTACTAAAATAGCTTATCCTATTCATAGAATGACGTAAGAGCAATGACCGGCCAGTCAACTCTCTTATAATAAATAAACGAACGACAAATTTGCGGGGAACACATATCTTCATGAATCCGTGCAAAGAGCACATACTTATCTCCACAGTAATTACCTAAAGGTTGAGGCTTGAGGACTCCACTTATAAAGAAAACCGCAAAGTATGCTTCCCGTAGAGGCAAGGTTGAAATACCAAATGAAGGCAATAGAGGCGTTGACAAATATGGTGATCGATACGACGATGAACTGTTAGCATGTTAGTGAAATGTTAAACAGAGTCCAAAACATGAAATGGAAGAACCAAGATTCTTATTGCTTACAAAGATTGTGTATACTACAGTTAAAAGTCAAAGGCCTTCTTTGGAATATGTGTACTCCGGGGGTAACCAAATACTTAAACGAATCGACCGGATCTAGGAAACAATAGTTTCACATTAACGTAACTGCTTAGGGTATTCTGCTGCGGAGCATTTAGTTGTAAAACATAAGTCACCAGCACAACACATTGGAATTACTAATAGCTTATTTCATTTTTGCAGCACACTCACAGTTTATTTTCTTCGTAGCCATGTTCATAAAAGTCCATTGTAAGTTGGCACTAACTCTAACTACGCGGAAACAATGTCCAATATCTGTGTGATGAGCTTGCGTGAACTGACTGATTTCTTCACATCCTCTCCTTTTTACCACGATACAGACTCAGACCATTGATAATATCCAGCCTAGCCACTTTAAATCACTAATCCTAGTCCGTTTGGAATTTATTTGTGGATGTATCTATCTTGTTATCTGAGTTCATCTCAGGGTATCAGTGGCTATCACATTACCGGACAGGACGTTGGAGGAAATTAAAAAGAAAGTTTGAATACTAAGTGGAGACGATTAGTTCAAGAACTAGATAAATAAATAGATAAATGAATTAGCAACTGACTATGGACGAGTCACGTGTAAGAAAATGAGAGGAAATGGAGATGTTAATAGTAGTAGTGGCTAAGTTACAAGGCATACATCACATATGGCTGGTCTGCATAGAAGATGGTAATTCATATTATGTGTTTTTTATATCTGATACTGAGGATTTTTACTGAGATCACTTCGGCAAGAAGACCATTTCAAATGCGGAAACGTTGAATGAGAGAAAGCGAGCGATTGCCTGGGTTTTCTCTTGTCAGTTGGCAAATTTTCAGAGCCTTTTAGTGGTGTTGACATTGGTGTTGGTATTCGAGTTACTTGATGCACTAAGCATATTGTATCCAGTTATCATATCACCTCTCATCCCCTTATAGCTCAGATAGAATAACACCGAATGTCAGAACTCTTCTTCGTAAACTTATTCCCAAGTCGCTATCCACTTGATGGTCTAGCTCACATGCACTCTTTTTGCAACGATAAAAAGCGTTCTGTCCGTTTTTGATTTCGGCGTTAAGATAGAAGTGTGCCGGTGAAACCTATATAAGCAGAATGCCTGCTGCACTGTGTTAGATAGCTTCTCAATATCAAGGACTAATTCATGGACTGATATGTCTAGGTGCAAGCAGGTTATCTAACTATTGCATTCTATGAGGAGATCGAATGGACAAGATCTGCCTTTCTTAAACCTATAATTGACACTATGAAGTATGCTTTTTCTGTCAGTGTACTAGTTTCGTATATTCTACTGCACTGTACATACATCAAAAGCTAGTGACGTGGTTGTAATAGGTCTGCATTCAGATCGAGTTCAGCAGGACAGTTAAGTGCAGGGGTTATGATTAAAACAATCAGAATTTTTGGCACTCAAAATACGACAGTATATAATGTAGCGTCTTCATAAGCTAAGGAAGTGAATAAACACCTTAAATATAATTTTTTGATCCTAACTGACGTATCCGAATACTTCGTGGCTACCTAAGCTAAACTGTTACACACTCCATCACTTATTCACTAACTAGTCTTTCCATTACGTTCAGCTATAAAAACAGTAATTTAACTTGTCTGTTTGACACTACGCTTCTCCTATTTTCTCCTCTGAAAATTAGCCAGTTTTCATTTTCTTGAAAGTTGCTATGACTCATGCAGGTGCCTGAACAGGTCAAATACAGTCGTACTCGTTGCTTCTGGATGTAGTTTCAGGGTTAAAGGAAAGATTTCACCACTCTCAGATGACTTTCTTTGTCATAAGGATTTTAGATGCCCTATTACGAAGTTGACAATTAGATATTCATCAGGACATCAGCTAGCACTAGGCTTGAAAAGTTCCTAATCAAATTTATCAGCTCAGTTGGCAGTAAATATTGCTGCCACCTCTAGGTTGGTAAATTCTTGACCTTTAGCACCTTCGTAACACAGATTTCTTGGTTTGAGACTTTCCATTTTGTCACGCACTTATGGAGATGTTTAGGGTTAGCCTGTGTTTCAAATGCATGCTTAGTTTGGAAATATATCCCTATGCTTGGGACTTTGACATCGCTCCCCTTTCTGAGTACCAAAATCTGGACTACGATGGGAATCTGTTCGGGAAACTTCCTGTTGAAGCCCACTCTTCTTCACGCCTCTGTGATGATACGGTTACGAGTGTATGATATTTAATTTCAGCTGCGAGCAACGGTAACACTTACTACTTACTAATAAAAGTAGCGAACTACTGATTCATAAAGTAACGTGGTATTGTAGTATAAACTGCTGAGCTATATTCTCCAATACTTAACTGTTTGCTTTAGAATGAGCAATATAATAAAGACAAATGTCAGTATCATTGGAAGTTTAGTAGAAATGCCTAACTTAAAAAACTAGTTTTGTAGATGCAATGCAGTTTTGCTGATTTTTTAGGTTTTCACAGGTACCTTTGGTGGAGGTCATATTCTGGTACAGAACTTTGAAAGCCCATGTCCAACTTCTAAATACCCATCCCAATAGTTCCACGTTAATCTACTAGCGTCTAGAACTAAAAATATGGTTGGTTCAGACCATTAAACCTTTTTCGTTTGTTTTGTGCGTATGTTCAAATGAGTTTGGTATAAAAAACTGTTTAGTTCCTCTGCATGAATATCTTTCCATTACTGAGTTAATTATTCGTATTTTCAAGAAATACCTCGACGTCTTTTTATAGTTTATTTATTAACTGTATTCTTTATTTCGTCTATACAACAATTTTTCAAACATGCTAAGAGTATTGAACTAAGTTCTTCTTTCCACTGTCTGATGATCTATCGTTTTATAGACTCTAACAACTTGATAAAGTAAATAGACATAACAACCGTAAATGACTGACTGACATTAAATAATTCTGGGAACATATGAGCTGAAGATGCTCGGTCAAGCTTCAACTATTGATGACATTAAAACTTATCGGAGATTTATCCAACTGAGGGTGGTTAGGTAAACTTTTTTAAATGTCAGAATCATTCAACAACATGAACGTTATCAAAATTATTGATATTCACATCTCGTTGATTGTTTCCCTCCAAATCGTCCTGGTATCCGTATGAATGTTAGGCATGGTTTGAATCGGATGATATTTTCCAGACAGTAGTTGCACTGAAATGTGTTTTTCCGTCAGTAAAACTACTTGTCTGCTGCTGCACATTCCTATCGTTTAAACATCTTCCATTACACGTAATTTTTTGTGTTACTGATTAATTACTGACCATTATCATATAACTTAACATATATAACCCAAGTCTTTGGTTTTATTGTCTACTGGACCATACTTTTAATTCCATGTCAGATAGACAAGTCACATTTATGAAGAATTATGTTTGTAGTCATTTTACTGATGCAAATTCCTTTTAATTCACGATAATCACGATGGTACTACATCAAACGTAAGTTACGAAGCATATTTAGTTTCAGCTTCGCTGAAAGTGCGGCCGATCAATAAACGATTGCCCAAAAGTCACTCAGTTTCATGAATCAAACACTGATGACTTTAGTATCTAGCACTGAATTTAGTCCAAAAGAAAATTTGAACTGAAATCACTATTCAGGTGATCTCTTCAGTGCTCTGATAAACGTTACACTTGGGCGTGTTTCGTTAGCTAACCCAGTGTAACACAAGCTTTTCAGTCATGAATGAATTGTTCCGTAACGTTCAACTGACGAAAGTAGTCATTGAAAATAATCACAAGTTCTTCCAAATTATACTACTCAGTGAATTTTCAAGATTTCTTTCTCTTATTTTTATGAGGACCAGGATGAAATATTCGGTAATCCACCTCTTATAGAATAAAGAATACTATTTTTAATAAAACTCTGAAAATATGATCACCATGTGGTGGTAGGACTTACAAAAGGTTAAATGATCTCGAAACATTTCCTTGAAAATAAATACTTCCAACTGAATTAGGATACATTCATAGTACTTATTCTTCACACTTGGTAATATTGTGTTTCGGCATAAAATAAAATAGTACTAAATCCTGGCCAAATGATCGGACAATATACTGAACTGCAATTTAGAGGAACTTAACTCGGAAAGTCCTAAATCATAGCTGACTCATTGACTATCCAACTCGATGTAATGAACTCGGGCTTGATCCATTATGGAAGAGAAGGCTTAAGTCCAATCTGATCCATTACTTTAAACTCCTGTACCAAATATTTAGATAAACCCCAGAAACGAATTATAGAGTATGAACATATTGTGTCCTCAATATATCCCATACATTTATCACGAAATGATAGACAAATCCCCTTGCTCCTACTAACAGTAATAGATTACGCTTTTGAGGTGTTACCCGTGACTTTTCTCTAAATTTAAATTCCGATTATTATTTTCATATCTTCAAAACAGTTTTAGTTTTTGTTTCTAGTAGACAGACAAATTGAAAAGCCTGTCGATGCTGTTCAACTACTGTCAACTACAAGGAACTCAAACACCGTGTATCATTGTGAGTTCCTTCTTGTTTAAGTATTAACATTTTAGCAAACTTTTATTTCCCTAATTCATTAACATCCAAACACCTTGCCTGCTTACCAACTTATCGCTTTACTCATTAATTTTTAACATAATTTCAACTCTTTTTTTTCACTTTCTCCTCGTTCCAGCTCCCTGTCCTTCCTATTTCCAAACTACCCATTAACTGACTCACCTTACAAATTAAACCATTCGTTTACTTAAAATCAGTGTGATATGCTATGTGGATATATTATCTGGCGAAGTTGTCTGGATTGCTTGTAATGTTGGAGCTAGTAGAGAACGTTAATTCCAACAAGGTGTACAAAAAAATAGACAGTAGACTAGAGACCATTATTTACAATCAACCACTAAACGAAAGAGAGCCTAACATCACAAAAGGAGGGAGGGTGGTGTATCTGACCAGCATTCATGACGGTGGGGCGATAACCTCAGTCTACCCATGTCTGTGTGGCAGAACATTTTGTTTGCTTACGGCTCCTTACGATATAGCAGGATGTAACAAATCAGTGATATTGATGTTACTTTTCCTTGTTAACCTCGTCTACAACCCATGTCTGTAACCTTGCACTGGTTTTAACTTCCTACCGAGAAGTCCTATTACAAGCTGGTCTGGACAACTATACTAAAAAAGAGCTCATTCATAACTTCTTGAACTACAGTGTTAAAAATAAAAAGAATAAATAAAATAA